GTCATGCAGGAGGCAACCAATCAATGTCTCTCTCCAGTCAATGTTTCTCTCTCCCCCTCCCTCCCTTCCACTCTATCTAAAAATCAATGGAAAAATATCCTCAGGAGAGAATTAACTCCCTCCCCCCAAAAAAGACCCGGGTGCTTTGGTTGACTAGAAGGTGAGTACAACACTATTGAAGTGGTTAGGACAGAAAACTGTGGTACAGGTCTACATCCTCTTCATGAATCCAACCATATCTGGAATCTGCACCTGACCTTATGAAGGACATTTAGAAACTGAAAAGAGTTTAGAGGAGAGAGACCATAAAGTCAAGTCACATAAAAAAAAAGTTTAGGAAATGGGCTTACTGCCCATTCACCTGAAGGATTATTATGTGAATGAGAAAAGGACTTAATGTTGTTTGTTCTAAAGGTCACAGATTAAGTAACTCATACAAATTACTAGACAGCAATTTCTGTTCAACATGAGGAACATGTATCAACATGTATCCAAAACCAAAATTGACTGCTTCATAAATAGTTCTGCCATCACTAGGAAATGTTCTGGCAGAAGCCAAAAGACCATTGAGAACTTTGCCAAAAGGCCTGCAGTGCTGGGCAGGAGGTGAATTTTGATGATCGCTGAGGTCCCTTCCAACCATGAAGGCTTTGATCTTGGGGATAAGGAAACCAAAGCTGCTTGACAATGAGTCACTAAAAAGTAAGTAGCAAGTCACTCTTGATGCAGAATGCTCTAGTGCAGCATATTCCACACTCAGTCCCTGAGTGCTGGCAGAGGTTAGGAACAAAGGCTTCTGTCAGACCAGCCTTCAAATCTCAGCCTTGCTACTTAACAAGCTGTGGGACCTTGGGCAAGTTTCTCGACCTCTCAGCACCTTAGTTCCCCATCAGGAAAATAGAAATGGTAATTACCTTCCCTTCACAGGACTGCTGAAAGGATAAGTTAACCACACAGCAGAGTGGCATACAGTAAGCATTTATCAAATGGTATCTTTTATTACTGCTGCTGGTATTAAGAAGCAGCAGTAACCTGACACCTAATGTAGGTAGGCCACTTAGATGACTGCTTGGAAGATGGAAAATGCTAGATAATGATAATAACATTTATTGGAGACTTACTATGTACCAGACACCACTCTAAGAACTGTAACATTTTGTTAGAGCCTCCCAACAATCCTATGAAAACTACTGTTATCTGCCTCTCCATATGAGCAAGCTGAGTTTCTTAGGGGCTAAATAACTTTCCCAAGTCACAGAGCTAGAAAGTAACAGGTCAGGATTTGAACACAGGCAGTAAGGCTTCAGAGCTCACACTCTTTTTTCAAAATTTTTAATTGATTTGAAAGAGGGAGAGAGAGAGAAACATCGATCCATTGCCTCTCACACATATGCCCTTACTGGGGATCAAACCTGCAACCTGAATATGTGCCCTGAATGGTAATCAAACCTGCCACCTTTTGGTGTACAGGGTGATGCTCCAACCAACTGAACCATCCTGGGCAAAACCCACACTCTTAACCACAACATCTTGACAGTACATTAGAATGACCTAGGGAGGTATCTCTGGGACCTATCCAAACCCTTCGCTCACCGCCCATCCTCATTTACACTGATCTGGGATAGGCAGCAGGGTTCTCCACAGTTCAGGAACACTATAGGCCAGTGGTTCTCAACCTTCCTAATGCCTCAACTCCTTAATACAATACAGTTTTTCACATTGTGGTGACCCCCAACCATAAAATTATTTTCGTTGCTACTTCATAACTGTAATTTTGCTACTGTTGTGAATTGCCATCAGAAATATGTGTTTTCCGATGGTCTTAGGCGACCCCTGTGACAGGGTTGTTCGACCCCCAAAGGGGTCGCGACTCACAGGTTGAGAACTGCTGCTATAGGCCATGCTGCCTTCCGGATGAAGAACAGGTTATAAAGAGCAACTTGTCCCAGCTGACATCCAGGTAGATCTATTGCTTTTTTTTTTTTTTTTAATCCTCACCCGAGGACATTTTTCCATTTTTTGTTCAGGTAGAGTGGGAGGGAGAGAGAGGAACAGAGAGAGAGAGAGAAACATTGATGTGAAAGAAACACATCGAGTGGCTGCCACCCGCACAACCGACCAGGGCCGGGGACAAACTGCAACCGAGATACGCGCCCTTAGCGGGAACCGAACCCGGGTCTCTCAGGACCGCAGGCCGACGCTCTAACTGCTGAACCAAACCGGCCAGGGCAGATCTATTGCTTTTTAAGAATAGCTTTAGAACTGTGAGATTAGAACTGCTTTAAAAAAAATTTAAAAATTTTTAAAATTAAAATTTAACCCCAAAAGTGATCCCATTCAGGTACATATCATATTACTGTTTTATAGACAAGGAGACTAAGACCTAAAAAAGTTCAGTAACTTGTCCACACTCACAAAGGAACTGAGAAAAGATTCCAGGAAGGCTTTGGCACCCTAAAGAGTTCCAAAAGAGGTGAGAAATTTGAGTGGGTTGTTAGGGATGCTTCACGGAGGAAATGACATCTGTACAAGACAAAGCATGGGACAAGGAAGGAGAAAATCAGCAGAATGAAAGGCAAGAACTGCCACACAAATGTTCACAGGACTAGAAGTAAACAGGTGCGGTGAAACTATGGTGCTTTCAAGGTGAAGTTATAAGAGAAGCTTCAGAGCTCAGCTCAGGCCCAGACTGAGCAGGTGCACGAATGCCAAGCTGCACAGCTATCCTTGGCCTTCACAAGACTTTTCCTGAAACAGGAGTCCACTCAGGTAGATGCCTGGAAACCCAGCCTTCAAGGGAAGAAAGGTCATATTTCCAACTTGAACTCATTATGCAGGAAAAAGCATAAAGCAGCATCCAGAGTTGAGCTCTGTATCCAAGCTACTCTATCCACTGGGAAAGACCGAGGAGGTTTGGATCTTTGCTATCATATCACATATTATAAGGCAATAAAACAAAGTAGGGAAGAACAAGGCTTTAGAGTCATATAATCCTAGGTTGAAATCCTGACTCCACTTTCACTATCTATATACCCTCAGGCATTTCTTAAACTTCTTTGAGCCTATTTCTACTTTTTTGCAAAACAGAAATAAAAAATATATTCCTCATAGGGTTGTTGTGAGAAATGAATAAGAAACAAATAAGCACCCGGCCAGTGTGGCTCAGTGGTTGAGCATCAACCCATGCACCAAGAGGTCGCTGGTTTAATTCTCGGTCAGGGCACATGCCCAGGTTGTGGGCCAAATCCCTGTGAGGGGCATGCAGTCGGCAGCCGATTGATGTTCTCTCTCCCTCTCCCTTCCTCTCTCTAGAATCAATAAAGAAAGAAAAAAAAGGAAACAAATATGCAATATGACAATTAACACTACATAGTGAGAGCAAGTACCCCCAAAATATTAGCTATTCTTTCCTTCATTCAACATGTTTTTATCAATCAAACAAACCTAGAGAAACTCACACAGCAGAACACAGACTGTTAACATGCATTCAGAGGTCTGCCTATTAAGCCCTGCACGAATACCCAAATTTGCAAATACAACAGAGGGAGACCTTTTGTATTCATGGATTTATATCACTGTAGAACAATAAATACAGCTATGAACTCACTAAAAAAGTAATAACAATTTTCCCTTTATTTTATAAATTGCTTCAGAAGAATGGGGCAGATTACTCTATATAATTCAGGGTGAGTTCCAGGAAGCAAAACACTTATCCTAACAAAACACAAAAATAAAATAGGCCCTGGCCAGTTTGGCTCAGCAGGTAGAGTGTCAGCCCAAGGACTGAAGGGTTGTGGGTTTGATTCCTGGTCAAGAGTGAATACCTACGTTGCAAGTTTGGTCCCCAGCCCTGGTTGGGGTCGTGTGGAAGGCAACTAATTGATGTGTCTCTCTCACATCTATGTTTCTCTCTCTCTCTCCGCTGCCCCCCCTTCTACTCTATCTAAAAATCAATGAAAAAATATGCTCAGATAAGGATTTACAAAAATAAAAAAATAATAATAAAATAAACCCAGCTGGTATGGCTCAGTGGGTTGAGTGTCGTCCCATGGACTGAGAGGTCCCAGTTCAATTCCCAGTTGGGGCACTGTTGAGACACAGCTGGGGCACAGTTGGGGTATAGTCGGGGCACATGCCTGGGTAATAGGCTCAATCTCCCGTAGGAGGCGTGCAGGAGGCAGCCAATGGATGTTTCTCCCTCACATCTATGTTTCTATCTCTCTCTCCCTTCCTCTCTCTCTCTCAAAAAAAAAAATAGCCCTGGCCGGTTTTGCTCAGTGGTTAGAGCGTCGGCCTGAGGTCCAGAGAGACCCAGGTTCGGTTCCCGCTAAGGGTGCATGCCTCGGTTGCAGTTTGTCCCCGGCCCTGGTTGGGTCATGTGCGTGGCAGACACTTGATGTGTCCCTTTCACGTCAATGTTTCTTTCTCTCTCTTCCTCTCTCTCCCTCCCACTCTGTCTGAACAAAAAATGGAAAAATGTCCTTGGGTGAGGATTAAAAAAAATAAACAAATAAATAAAACATATATTTTTTAAAGAGAATAAATCTCATTTAAAAAAATTAAAAATAAAATCATAAGCCTGTATCAACAGAAGTATTGATGGCTTTCCCCCACCAATTCCAATATTGCTCTGATTCTCCTTACACCGGGCTCAGTATGATATACTTCCAATACATTTAAGACAAAGAAAAGTTACATCTTCTATGATAATAGCAGAAAAAGGGTAAGAGTCTGTAGAAGCATAGGTTCTAATCTCAGCTCTGCCACTAACTAGGTGACTTTCTCTGGGCCTCCTCTGACAAGACAATGTCTTTTTCTTCTAGCTCTAACATCTGTGACAAAGCTAACTCAACTTTAAACAGACCACCTCACAAGTCCTTTTCCTTTGGGCGCATTTGGATGAAGACTGGACATGCAAGGCAAGGCGAGAGCACAGGCCATGGTAGGAAAAAGTTACTGCTGGGGGAAACGTGCAAAAATTCCCCCCAAACACCCAGTACCTTTCTTCATCATGTCTCGGTCCAAGGCTACATTTCTTTGGGCAAGATTTACTTCTGATCGAAAATGGAAGCGCTTGGCTCGCTGTTCTTTCTTTTCAATTGCTTCCTAGAAGGTACAGAAAAAGCCATGTTTCAATGAATAAGGAAAGTTAAAGCACACACACAAAATCACAAACACAACATAATGCATCAGTAACAACCCTAAAGTAAATCAGAAGAAATAAGCAACAATGTGCCTTTAATAATTTTTGCAGAGGACTGGATATTCAAAGTCAAGGACTAGGAGGGTGTACATTAATGCTGCTATAATTTGTAATAGTCTCCATGATGATTCAATGCCTATCACTGTGTCTGGGGCAGAGTAGGAATTCAATGAATATTAGTTGATTCAATGAGTAGAAAATAATGCTTAATTCTCTGACACTTCATTTATTATTAACAATCATGCTTTGAACAAATTACAACTGAACAATCTAAAATCCCAATTTTCCAGGTGCAGAAACTGAAGCACAAAAAAGCTAAAAGGCTTGCTGGAGGTACTTCAGCTGGTAAGTGGGGGCAGAACTTCTGATCTCAGTGCTATTTCTAGCCCCACCATCCTCCCCATTTCACATTGTCTGTGTGCATGGTAATCACACCTATCACTTCGTCCACATTATGTCTACATGAGCAGTCCACTCCCAAAGGCTTTTTCCTGGTTTAAAAATAGCACTGAGGCAAAGAAACTCTCTCTTCTATTCTAGGCTCGTGTCCATGGAATTGCCAGTTTTCATCTTTAAATGACAAGAAGCACTGACACTTCACTGAAAAACAAAATTATCAGCTTCATAAGTTTTTTTCCTAAGAGCTAAAATAAATCCAGATCCAACTGAGGGTTTCTGATAGCTCTTAGGAACCCTTCACTAATTACGTATTGACTTTGCCACACTAATTAAAGGTCTGACTACAGAAAGCTTGTGGGGATTGGTAAAGCAGCAACACTTCTGTTATTTCCCAATAGTTATGCTAATTTTCTTCACTAAAGTCTTCCCAGTGCAAACAACTTATCTACCTTTATTCCTTTCTAATATGTTTTATTGTTTTTTTAGAGAGAGGAAGGGAGAGGAAAAGAGAGATAGAAACATGGATGAGCGATCAATTGGCTGCCTCCTGCACACCCCTACTGGGGATCAAGCCCGAAATCTGGGCAGGTGCCCTGAACGGGAGTCAAACCAGTGACCTCTTGGTCCATGGGTCAACACTCAACCGCTGAGCCACACCTGCTGGGCTAATCTACCTTTCTTTAGTAACAATCTAACCTTTCTTTAGTAACAATTTAAGGACCAATTCTGGGACTACCACTCTTTCCCCTATATATTTGTTTCATATAACGGCAAACTGTGTAGGATTAAGAACAGTACAGTCTACTTTTCTTTCTTTCTTTTTTTTATCCTCACCCGAGGACATTTTTCCATTATTTGTTCAGAAAGAGCAGGAGGGTGAGAGAAAAAGAGAGGGAAAAACCTCGATGTGAAAGGGACACATCGAGGTTTCTCTCTCTCTCTCTCTCTCTCTCTCTCTCTCTCCCCCCTCCCTCCCTCCCTCCCTCCCACTTTAGCTGAACAAAAAATGAAAAAATGTCCTCGGGTGAGGATAAAAAAAAAAGAAAACATCTTCACTTTATTTTCTTGTCTGTCTAAAAGATCATTCTTTCTTTTAGCCTTTAAGCCATCTAAGACAGACTGAGACCTATGTAAAATGTAAGCATGATGTATTTTTAAAATGTTTTTATTTATTTATTTATTAGAGAGAGAGAGAGAGAGAAAGGGAGAGATAGAAACATCAATGGGAGAGAAACATTGATCTGCCTCCCACTCACCCCCACTGGGGGGTCAGCCTGCAACTGCAACCAGGGCATGTGCCCTAATCCCTCTGACCCCAAGGTATAAGGGACCACACCCACCCAACTAAGCTACACTGGCTGGGCAACATATTTATTTTTATTTTTTCTTTTACACATCCAATATAGCAATGCAGTACTATTATTCAGAATTAATTCAAGATTCTGTTCCAAACTTAACTGCACACATTAAAGTCAGAAAGAATGTCTAAACTGGATATCACCAATTAAAGCAACAAATATGCAGATTATTTTATAATAAGAAAAATAACAGGTTTGGCTCTGTGAAGAGTTACAGTGAAGTTGATAATCTAGTAACAGCAATCACTAGGTAAAAGATAATATTCCCAGTTAATTCAGCTGACCTGGTCTTCAAAGTTTAGACAGCAACATAATCAGCAAATCCTATTTTTCCTTCTTCTTTTTTTTTTTTTTTTTAAGAGGGAAAAAAGGGGAGAGAGAGAAGGAGAGGAAGAGAGAGAAACCTAGGTATGTACCCTGACCGGGAATCAAACTTGATAACTTCAGATGAATAGGATTATGCTCCAACCAACTGAGCTACACTGGCCAGAGCAGGAAATCCTATTTTTCTAGGCTTGTAGCCAGTGACGAATAAAGACATTTACTAAGAGCCTACTATGTGCCAGGTACTTTTCATGTTTTGTTTCATTTAAAGTAGAAATATATCATTTTTAAGGAATGGACATAGCATAAAAAAGCATTACCAGCACAGAACTTTTTCTTGGATAGGGTTAAGCACAGGCACCTAGGTATAGTGATTTTCTTGTTGTGAATGTGAGAACATACAAATACTGCCCGGATGTTTCCAGAATGCACAAAGGCATCATTGAGTATTGTGAAATTTAAGTCGAATAAATTTTAACCCAGCAACTAAAGAAAATAGGAGGTAAAGAATAATAGCAGTCCAGGCTGGTTTGCTCAGCGGTTAGAGCGTCGGCCTGCGGTCCAGAGAGACCCGGGTTCAGTTCCTGCTAGGGGCACGTACCTCGGTTGCCGTTTGTTCCCAGCCCTGGTTGGGTCATGCGGGCCACTCGATGTGTCCCTTTCACGTCAATGTTTCTCTCTCTCTCTCTTCCTCTCTCTCCCTCCCATTAAAAATAAAAACAAAACAAAACAAAAAAAAGAATAACTGCAGTTCTGCAAATCCTAGGGACCAAGTTCACCTGCTTATCAAAATGAAAAATAAATCATGGTCTATCTTACCTTGGAGGTGACATCAATTCCAGTGATGAAACTGCCAGCCTTATTTTCATATCTTCTGCTTGTGTCCTAACACAAAGGGAAGAATAAGAAATGCTAACGTCAACTGGCGAAAAACTCATGATAAAGGACAGCTGATGTCTTTTGGATAATCATTTTCTTCAGCAATCCTTCCCCCACTCTGACAACCCTTATAATGAAGAAGCCCATCCCAGTGACTCTGTGGTAGCAATCAACCACTCTAATGGGAAGTCTTTTCTAGTCTAGAGCCTGCCCCAAACTTTAAGTAGTTCTACCTACTGAAGGCGTCCATGTAAATGAAAATCTAAAGGCTTCTGTGAAAAGCACCCAAGATGAGGCACAGTCACTTGTCTCCCCAACCCAGGCTGGCCAAATTCATCATGCCACGCCATGAGGTAAATAAAGCACAAGTCTTCATCAAAATGCAGAAAATCCAGCCTCACCCAGACCCATAGAAAACACAGCACAGTGCAATGAAAAGAGGCTGGGATTGGGACACCTAGGACTTGAAAGGCAGCACTGATGTTCACAGATTACACGACACTTTACAATTCCTTTGGCCTCTCTGGGCCTAGGTTTCCTCCGTGGTCTCTGTCGACCTACCTGGCCTCTTTTACTGCTCTCATATTTGTGCTATAGAACGTTGTTTCCCCAGGAAAACAAGCTTGTTCCCATCTCAGAGCCTTCCGTTTACTGTTGCCCCTACTGAGAACACTCTCCTCCAAATCTGCAAACGGTTGGCTACTCTTTGTCACTTTGGGTTCGACTTAAATATCACTATCTCAGAGGGCTTCCTTGCCCATCCTATCCCATTCAGTTTCCCACTCTGCATACCCTCCTTGCCCACTGCTCTCTATGGCATTAACATGCTTTATTTTCATCACAGCACTCACTACTATCAAACACTGTTTGCTTACTTGTGTCCCGTAACTGCAACATAAACTTCAGGAGGGGGTTTTTAATCTTGATTAAGTGCCCAGGGCTGTGCCTGGCACAGAGTGGGGGGTGCAACAGATGTTAAACTGGATGAATAAAGGGATGATATATACTTCGTGATATTTAAATGTTATAACGTAGTAAGTGGTAAAATGACACTGCACTGTTCATCGTTGTTACCAGAATCATTATCATGTGCTGTCTTTAGTGATCCTACCTTCACCTTTTCCCATAATTTCCGTTTAAAAGCAAGACTTGCTGACGTGGTAAAAAGCAGACCCTTCGTGTTAGGTGAGGAATTAAGTACATGACAAGAGCCACGCAGGCCTGAGACCGGCCCTAAGACCTGGACACAGGGACACCAAAGCGCAAGCAAAACACCTCTCGCCATCCCCACTGTGATAAAAGACGGACCAAGAACCGCGGCTAATTCGCGGCCGTTTTGGTTTCATTAAAGGTCAGATGTGGGGGCCACGGTGTAGGGGCCACACAGCAGCGGAGCCGCGCGGGGACAAGATGACCCTCAAGTCACGACGGAAACTCGGAGCTCTGCTGCTGTCAAGTCCAGCCCTGCCACGGAGAAGCCGCGGGTGCTCCGTACGGCCACCAGCCGCCGAGCTACACCGGAGCAGGACCCGCAAGGAGACCTGGCCGCCGGCGCCCCCGACAGCTCCTTCTGGGCCGCTCGTTCTGTTCCCGCCCGGGGCGCATCCTTGACCTGAGGTGCCCAGCCATCCCCGCCCTCCTCACTCACCCCCAGGCACAGACGGGCTCAGAGGGGGCGTCCTAACTACCCTCCAGCTGTCCGCCACCTCCTCCAGCCCCCTCAACACCCATTTCCGGGCGCCCCTGCGTCCTTTCTCTCGCTCCGGGTCTCCCCAGCCCGGCGCCTCCGCCCCCCGGGCGCTCGCCCCCTTCTCTCCCCTTGCCCTGACTTCCCCCGGCCCGGAGCCGGCCGCCTCCCCTTCCGGCCGTTCCCGCACGGGGCACTCGCTCGCTCGGCGACCTCCTTCTCGCCCCCTGCCTCCCTCCCGTACCGGGATCAGTTCCTTCAGCGAGCGCCGCACCGGCACAATCTCCAGCTCGCCCTCCTCCACCTCCATGGGCTCCGGCTCGCCACGCTCCAAACCGGATTCCTCCTCAGGCAACGGGAGCCCCAAGGCCGGCCCCGCTGAGGCCTCAGCCTTCACCGACACTCGCAGGCCGCGTACGGCCGCCATCGCGTCCCGCCGGCCGCACCACTGAAAGCCCGCCCCTCACACCCAATGGCTAGAGCGCCGCCCTCACTGGCCACCGAGCAGTCGCCTCCTCTTCCTAGAGCGTCGCATGCTTCGGCTAGACGGCTTCCCTCTTCGGCGCCACCGCCCCCTAGTGGGGAGAAGAACCTGGACTGACTGGAGCCGGACTTGGTGAGGAGGAGGAGAGGACGAATGGAGACCAGGGCGGGGTCTGTTCGACAGGGCAGGGCCTGGATAAAATGGGTGTAGCCTGGGCTTAGAAAACAGCTACGCCTTGAGCAGTAAACCTATAATAAAAAAGCTAACTTTGCTGAGCGGTCATTATGTGCCAGTGACTATTCCAGCGCTTGACTCCTACAACAACCCTATTAAATAGGCACTGTTATTCCCATTTCACATATAAGGGAACTGAGGCATACAAATTTTCCCAAGGGGACAGGCTATTTAAGGGATAAAACCTGAATCTAACTCTAGGCAGTCTGGCTCCAGAACCCGGAGTGAGCTTTGGTCTATCACCTCTAGGTAGTCTGTAGGTTTACAATGTACTTGCCTGGCCCACCTATGTCTCTTTCAAGTCTCCCAGTAATTGACATACACAAAAATTGAGGCTCCAAGAGGGTAGTGAGCTGCCCAAAGCCCAGAGCTTTCCTGACACCCGAGGGCCTCATCCTCTCTAAAGTTCTGAACATGGTTTCTTGCAGACATTTCTAACGAGAGCCCGGCTGGGAGAGAGGGAATGTCCTTTAGGCTTCTAGAGGGCTCCACTGGTCAGTTTTTCTTTTGAGTCCTGAGTTTGCACCTTCTTCCCTGTGTTACCTTGAGCTAGTTCTGGCCCCTTTCTGGGTTTGTCTTCCCCTCTCTGGAGAGCATAGGTGGAACCCTAGGGTCTCAGAGGCCCTACCAGCTCCGACCGTGGAGGAACAGATCATTATAAACCAAGGGAGAACAAGATCAGCATCAAACACACCTGGTTTCAAGCTGGCTGGCTTTGCCGTTTACACCATGTGTGACCTTGGGCAAGCCACTTAACTGTCAGAATCTCAGTGTCTTCAGCAGTAATATGGGACAATGTTACCCACCCTCAAAGGAGGTTGTGAGGGTTAAATGAGATAATTATATGTAGATACAGGATCCAATGGAAGTGGTATAGTACATCAATTTTCCTTAAATGTGGACTAAATAACAAAACAAACAAGCTAGAACTCTTTAGAGGGCTAGTTTTGATGAAAGGGACACAGTAGTTACAAAATTGGGTTTGAATGCATTTACATGAGTTTTTAAGAACACCTCAAAGAGCCTTGGCTGGGTAGCTCAGTTGGGTAGAGCATCTTCCATATACTCCAAGACTATGGGTTCGATTCCTGGTCAGAGCACATAGAAGAAGCAACCAATGAATGAAGAAATAAATGGAGGAACAGATCAGTCTTTCTCCCTTTCTTTCTCTCTCTAAAATCAATTAAAAAATAAAACACTTCAGCCCTGGCCAGTTTGGCTCAATGGTTAGAGCATCGGCCTGCGGTCTAGAGAGACCCAGGTTCGGTTCCCGCTAAGGGCACGTACCTCAGTTGCGGTTTGTCCCCAGCCCAGGTTGGGTTGTGTGTGCAGGAGGCAGCCACTCGATGTGTCACTTTCACATTGATGTTTCTCACTCTCTCTCTCTCTCTCTCTCTCTTCCTCCCACTCTATCTGAACAAAAAATGGAAGAAAAAAAAAGTCCTCGGGTGAGGATAAAAATAAATAAATAACTAAAATAAAGCACTTCAAAGAAAGTTTCTGCTTGGGGTGGCTAGCTTTGGGTGATGGTGACAAACTCCACCATTACACTCAAACTCCACCATTACACTTGTTTTCTAGGCCTGCAGGGTTGAGGGATGGAGAGAGAAGGAAGCAACCCCTCCTCGGCTATGGACACCAGGAGGCTAGCAGAGAAGGCTGGGCAGGCTCCTCCCCTGTAAGGTAGGAGCCTGTGGCTCGAGGACTCTGGCATTGCAGTTCAGAGGAGAACCAGTCCCCTGGGGCAGCTCTAGTTGGCAGGAGAATTAGGAATCCACAGCAAGCCAGGGCACCAGACAAACACCAGGGTTCCTAGACTGCTGTCAGGAAAGCCCTTCATGCCTGTTCATTTTTAGTCACCGAACTCACCCCACCCTCCCCTTCCTGTCCTCAATGCAGCCTGCTGTCGGGGCGGGGGGGGGGGAGGGGGGTTGTCGATTCCTGGTCAAGGGCATGTACCTGGACACTGCAGTGGCCTCCTCACTGGTTTCCCTGTTTCTCGCGTTCCTCCACTCCCATCCCTGTTCTACACTGTAGCCAGAGCGAGCTCTTCGGAACATTATCCAGCCCTGCCATCCTCTCCAGCTTCACTTTGCACCACTCTCCTCCTCACTCCCAAAATTACCACTTCAGTTCTTGGCAAGCACCGTATCCCTCCTAACGACAGGGCCCTTGTACAAAGCTGGTCTCTCCACTTGGAGTTGTCATCCCTCCGCCTTGGCCTAGCTCAATTCTTCCTCAACCTCAGATCTCAGCTGGAGCCGCCCGTTCTCTGGAAAGCCTCCCTAACTATTCCCAGACAGCCACCACCACGAGCCTTTCCTTTAGAGTTCTCGTCTCAGTTCAAAATCACCCCCACGTGTGCATGGTGACTTGATTAATGTCTGACTCCTGCGATGGACTGGGAGAGCCATGATGCAGGAACAGTGTCTAACTCAGTGCCTGGTTATAGAAGTCCCTGGACAAACATTGAAAGGCTAGGTGGATAAATAGATGGATGGATGGATATATATCAAAAGGAAATGAGACCTTTATCCACATTTGATTTAGAAACATGCACCAGATTTCCCACCACCAGCACTACCCCTACCCAATTCTAGACCAGGGCTATTCATATCAACTATCACTGTTCATTAAAATCACCAAGGGTCTGGCTGGTGTGGCTCAGTGGTTGAGCGTCGACCCATGCACGAACAGGTCACGGGTTCGATTCCCAGTCAGGGCACATGCCCAGGATGTGGGCCCGATCCCCAGTAGGGGGCATGCTGGAGGCAGTCAATCAATGTTCTTTCCCATTGATGTTTCGTATCTCTCTCTCCCTCTCACTTCCTCTCTTTGTAAGATGAATAAAGGGGAAAAAATTAAAAAATAAAATCACCAAGGTAAGAGCACATACTTGCAGCTAGTAGATCAATTAATTAGCCCTGGAGCTCTAACACAGTACAGTGATTATAAACAACAAAACTATTACAAACATTAAACTTGCTAAGAGACTAGATCTTAATTGTTCCCACCACTAGATGAAATAATAATCATGTAACAAGACAGGGGTGTTGGGTGTTAGCGAATGCTACAGTGGCAATCATATTGCAATACAAATATATCAAATCAATAGGTCACACACTTTAAATTTTTACAGTATTATGTCCATTATATCTCAATTTGAAAAATAAAAATGTTTATAAATCACCTAGGAAGCTGAAAGGATTGCATATGTATAATTCCAAGTAGATGACATTCAGGAAGAGGCAAAACTGCAGAGGCAAAACTGTGAGAAGAGCAGAGGTTGCTGGAGGTTGGGGGCGGGGTGGACAGTGAGGGTTAGGGAGGAAGGGAGAGAGAAGCAGGTAGAGCAGAAGGTTCTTAGGGCAGTGAGACGATCCTGGATGATACTGTAAAGGTAGACATAGAACTACACCTTTGTCACACCTGGAATGTACGAGTCAAAGGGTGAATCCTAAAGTAAACTGGACTTCGTGGATAGGAACGTAGCAATAGCCATTCATCAGCTGTAACAAATTACCACACTAATGGGAAACTGGGGAGCAGGAGGGAGGGCTGAGAGATTATATAGGAACTGTCTGTACTTTCCACTCAGTTTTTCTATGAACCTAAAGATATTTAAAAAAATAAAGTCTGTTAATTAAAAAAAAAAATCTGACACTCAGACAACATCCTAGACCAATTAAATCAGGATGTAGCATAGGCATCAGGATTTTAAATATATATAATTGATTTGAGAGAGAGAGAGAGAGAGAAACATGAATGGGTTGCCTTCAGTATATACTCAGACCAGGAACCGAACCTGCAACCATGTATCCTGACCCGGAATCAAACCGGCAACCTTTCAGTGCACAGGAGGACACTCAGCCAGCTGAGCCACACCGGCCAGGGCAGCACCTGGACTTGTTTAAAGCTCCCTAGGTCATGCTAATATGTAGCCAGAATGATAACTACTGTTTAGACTGAACTGAGAGGGGGCAGACCAGAGCTGGGAGCCCTCTCTCAGCTTTGGGGTGGGTTTCCCGAGGAGGTGGGGGGGATGTTGGCACGGATTGCCTGAAAGTAGGAGAGGAAAGCACCTGAGGGCAAGGGGATCCTCTCCTGCGAAGGCTTCAGCACCTTGAGGATGGTCCCCTGGACTCCGGGGAGACCAAGCACGGAGAAGTGTAACCAGCCTCTTCCTGTGCTGCAGTCCTGCACTGTTCTGGTTCTATTCCTTCAGTGTAGACTGTGCCTAGCCCAGGGTCGGGGGGAGGTCCTTGGGGAGACCACAGGACTGCTGGGGTCAAAGGATACACAATGTAGAGAGCATCAGCCAGTCGCATGGACTGCAGCTAGAACAAACAGTGACCAGTCCTGCTGGGGATGGGACAGAGGGAGCTGGGCAGTTACAAGGGACAAAGTGCCTGTGCCAAGAGCATCTGAGAGAGAAGGCAGGAGGGGCTGCCTCTGGCGTGCCTAGGAGTGTGGGGCAGTGGTCTTTGAGAAACCGAGGCCATGGAAATCTGGGTTATAGCTACAGGGGAGGTCTGTGTTAGTTTGCAGGCTAAGGAGCAGGATCAGAGGACTGGAAAGGCCAGAGATATACAGGCCAGAGAAGGAGCTTACAAGCGATCCAGTGGAGAGAATGGGGTTCCCAGAGGGCAGGCCACATTCTTTTTTTTAATTATTACTTATTTATTTTATCTTCACCCAAGGACATTTTTTTGCATTTATCTTCAGATAGAGTGGGAGGGAGAGAGGGAGAAAGAGAGAGAAGAAACATTGATGTGAGGGAGACATATTGACTGGATGCCACCCACATGACCCCAACCAGACCCCAAACAGCAACCGAGGTACATGCCCTTAGTGGGCACTGAACCTGGGACTCTCGGAGGGTCCATGGGCCAACGCTCTAACTGCTGAGCCAAACTGGCCAGGGCATAGGCCCCATTCTTGTGATTCAGCTGAGAGATGCTTGTCAAATGGTCTTCATCATGATGGAGCAGTGAGCGGGCAGATATAAGTTGTGAAAGTGACTGAGCCGGAATCAAGTTTCCAATTCCTGGTCCCTGATTCCAGTCTTGTAGGAGAATGACCAGACACCAGACCAATTGCCAAGGGTACCTCTGGGGCTGCGGACTACCTGGAGGAGGTGACTTGAAGATGGCCGGGGCCTAGGCAGTGGGGAGGGCAGCGAGGCTGACTCTAAAGTTGGATGGGCTAATGACAAACCGGTCAGTCCAACCTGGGCGGGGATGGGCAGCAGCACTGGAGAGTGAGAGGACCCAGACTTTGTTCTCTGGGTCATCCTAGCTGCAGAAATGGATGTGTCTGAGACCTCAGGTGGCAGAGCCAGGTCTGTATGTGTATGGGGGAGGGGACCAGAGACAAGAAATGGTCATTTCAGCTATGGACGCCCAGGCCAGGAGGCTGGAGTGGTGCAGGCAGTCCTTGCAGGCCAGGGACTGTTCTGCAGGTGAGACAAAGGCCCTCCTGGTCTCCTCCTGGGCCTTAGTTGGCCCCTAGGGCCCAGTAACACTTGCCATCTGGCTCCCCTGGCCTCCCTCAGCAGAGTCCCAGGCCTGCTTATTTGCCCTAGGAGAGGCTGGATAGGTGTGCCGGCCAGTGTGTGTGAAGGGAGGCTGGGGCGGGGGGGGGGGGGGTGACTCGGTAGCCTGTGGGGTGTTTATATGGATCCCAGTATGTGTCTGAGTGCCTCTTGGGAAAATTGGAACCCTCAGTGGCCCTGACCCTCCCTCCCTCCTCTCCCCCAGTCTGAGGCCAAATAGGATGATAATAGTTGAGGGGGAGGAGAGAGCAGGCAAAGAGCCCAAAGACATTCTCCCTGAGGAACCTGGGCCTCCCAGGGCAAATCCAGGACTGCCCCCCAGTCTTCAGCTGGACATCGCTAGGCTGGCCTCAGCTCCCCCATGTGGTTGGGTCTGGAAGTGCAGCTGCCATTTCTGATTTGCCCAAATGCCCTTCCCTATGGACTCTGGGCTATCCAGGCTGCTGGTGTGGGAAGACCTAGGTGTTTGGATGGACAGGATGCCTGGGCTCTAGCCTGGCTCTTCCCTGACTTTCTGTGTGACTGAGCAGGTCACTGATTCCTGGGCCTCGGTTTCCCTACCACACTATGCCTCCCAGAGTAGTAGGGGAATGACGCCATGGGCCATGGTCCTAGTCAAAACCCTTAGCATGATGATCTGGCCGGTCAAACCCCTGCCCAGGGTTTGGTGACCAACACCTGGGATGAACCAGTGCAGGGGTTTTTCTGACTGCAGGATAGAACTTGGAGGGAGAGCCGACTTTGACAAGGAGAGGCAGATATGGGGAAAGGCAGTGTCCTGGAGGCGTGGGTGAGCCCGAAGAGCCATGGGGGGCGAGGAGTGAATGGAGTGTGGGTGGGTGAGGCAGGGGTCAGGAGAGCATCCAGAGAGACCAGCAGGGCAGATGGCAGGGGCCTTGGATACCAGGCTGAGCACTATAGGGAGAGGGGTGGGCATGCTCCGATGAGCACCAGGATCAACCTAGCAGCTGGCTAGAGGGTGGATTGGAGTGCTGAGGACCAAGGAGACGAGTGAGGAAGTGAGAGACGGTGGGGTCCCAAAATGAGGGGCTGCAGTGGTGGGGATGAAGTGGGAACAAGTACCCACTTATCAGTTTTGGCATTTGGGGAACTTCTGCCTACTGCCACAACCCCTTCTGGAGAGGACTAGTGCAGCCCTTCGTGGGACCTTCACAGGATGACCAGGCAGAAACAGTTCTGGCCTCCATTTCTCAGATGGAAAAACTGACCACCAGGCCAGGCAGCCTCTGGCTTGGTCTCCTGTTTGGTCTCGTTTCATCCAGCTGGTACTTCCACAGACGGACAAATATCATGCAGAATGTGCTTAGCCCGTGACCTCTAAGGCTGGTTTCAGGCAGTCTGAGAGGCAGAAAGTTCTTTGTTTTGCTTTGCAGGGTCTCACTTGCTGAGTACTTACTCTGTGCCAAGCATTATGTCAGATGCCTGGCACAGGACTTCACTTAACTTCAAAGAACCCTGAGGTGCTATTATCCGCATTCGATCGATAAAGGAAACTGAGACTCCTCCAATGACTTGCTGAGGTCACACGGCTATTAAATGGCAAAGTTGGATTCAAGTTCAAGGCTGTTTGACCTCAACGGTGATTCTTTTCATCATGGCCATGGAGGGCCCTAGTATGAGAAGGGAGCTGCAGGGTCCAAAAAGCTCATGCCAGCACCCAAGGCTAAAGGGGCACAGGGAGGACATCGGGCCTACATCACAGGGGCTCCGGTAAGGCTCCACTGGGACTTCTGCCCCAAGAGGAATGGACAGCCCCCAAGCACCAGACCCCAGTGTCCCTGGGCTCCTGTGAAACAGGTAGGGTGCCTCATGGGCAGCCCACTGGCATCCAAACACCCTGTCCTTTCAAGCAGGGGCCACAGGACCTGCTCAGGAGCCTGAGCCAACCCTCTTCCCTCCTTCCCTCCCACCCCCACCCCCAGCTCCTCCCACCACTGTCCTGCCCAGACCCTTCCAGAAAAGCAAGCATAGTCAGCTAGTGAAAAAGAACACACCCAGATGCACAGGGGTACATGCAAAGTTTTGCTTTTTAAACTCAAGAAAGGGCTTTTATTGTTTTTAACTCACTTCCTGAGAAGTTAATTTTTAAAACACTCTTATGGAGTCTGTTCATCACTTGTGCTACATTCAAACACAATGATGCCGACCAAAACCCTCAGTGAGGGGTAAGCACCTCATCCAGCGGCAACCTGGGGAATGAAGCCAGGCTCACCTTTGAGCTTTGCTCAAAGAATGTCTCCCCTTGAAACCCCACCCACCAGGCCCCAGTGCAGAGATGCTAAACAAAACAAAACAAAACACACAAACTTTCAGATCTGTGACTGGCCTACCGTGAACTCTATAAAAGTGTTCTTAAAAACAGTACTGAATTATTTTTTTAAGCCCTGGGTTACAATGCCTCAGTAGAGATGAGCCAGGGAGAAATGTGGACCCATCGACAATGGGCCACATTCTGCTCAGAGCCTTAAATAGACATAGAAACTATATTACAGATGCATGTGCTAGTGTAAGACATGCGAGTGTGCTGTGCAGATGGGCGTGCACATGCGTATGAGCGCGGAGGCGCAACGGACACCCACAGGCACAGAGATGCACAGGACGCGGGCACTCCTCCAGCCCAGCCTCCCTCTCCTTCTCAACACAAGTCCTCCTGCGATATGAAACCCATGCCAGCAACTGCAGTCCCTTGTCTGGCCCACGTTTTCAGGGGAGGTATCTGAGTTCTGCTTTCCTTTCCTTTGGGGGCCAATCTCCTGAGCATGTGGTCAGTGACACAAAGCCATCAAGTGATCCCAGAGAGAAGATGATGTCTGCTCCAGCCTGGCCAAGTGCACACACACTCCAGGGCTCCAGCTCTGGGCAGGCTGAATGGCGACTGTCCTGGGGGTGAGGCAGTGGCGGAAGGCCCAGCCCTCCACGGCAGCCTGCCAGTACGCGCACCCACCAAGGCTTCAAATCTAGGGTGGCCTCCAGCCTGGGCAGTTCGTCCTTCATCGTAGGAATGTGAGGGTAGCTTCTGGGGCCAGATGGAGAGGCCAGTGTAGGATTGGAGATTGGATTCCAGTTACATCAGCATCTGCAAGGCCACAGCCCTGTGAGTCCAGGGTCCTTGGTCAATGTCGGCCCCTGGCGTCTCTTCTGCAGCCAGGGCTCAAGAAGCCACAAAGGGAGGGAGTGGTGTGGGCGGGGAAGATGTGCTCCTGGTTCAGGTCTCTGCTAGCGCTTTAATTCAGCCCGCTCTCTGGGGAGTGCGGAGTGTGGAACACAATCCAGCAAGGTCAGTTCAGCTCACCTGGCTGCAAATAACGGTGGGTTGCGCTAGGAACCGCCCAAAGTTTTAGAGAGGTCATTTGATATGTCCAATCAGGTCTTTGTACCCTCTTCCCACATGTTAAAAACAAAAATAAAAGACAACAAAACATGAATCTGAATTCTCCAATACTGGCCCCTGCCCCAGTGAGGCCCCGGAACACCCATCCAGGACTCAGAGACTCCATACCAGTGTCCTCAGCAAACATGAGCTCTGGCAGCACCCCCTGAGGTGGACAGGGTACACCCCTCCATGTGCACGAGGCAGCTGAGCCCGGCCAGTCCAGCCCCAGCGGGAGGTCTCTGCAGTGGTGGTAAGCCAGGCTTCCACTTGCCATCTTGGTTTCTTGCCTCCTGTCTCTGAGCCTTGCCGACGAGCCAAGTGGGGTTTCTAAGGCACCACGAGTACCTCCCTTCCCCACAGCACAGGTGCCACCAGGGAGAGCCAGGACGAGGAGAAAGGCCTTGAGGGAACTCTGCCCACCAAACCCCAGATGACACACATTCTAATCCTGTCTCTGGACACGCGCAGAGGTCATGCAGCATGAAAGGGGATGGGGAGCCAGGAGAGGGTCCCCGGTCTCCAGCCCCCTGCCCGCAGGGGCGGCTGTCAGCATGAGTGCAATGGGCCTTCGGAGGCGCAGGATGAGCGTGCTGCTGGGTGGCCCTGGGCGCATGCAGGGGCTCAGGACGCAGCCTCATCTTCTTGGACACCGGGGAGCTCCGGGCTCTTGACACCTTCACCACACCCGTCTTTCCTGTCCAGGGGATACAAGGAGCAGAGGGACCGCAGGGGTCAGAATTTCCACGCAGGAAGACACTTTCATACATATTTATACCTACCAGCTCTCAAACCACCACCCCCATCCACTTCCCCAAGCTCGCTACCCTGCATCATGGCTCCTTCCCAGTCTCCCTCCCCCAAATCTTGGCTTACAACTCTCCATGGCTCCCTACTGCCCAGAGATGAAATCTAGACTTGCCAGGCAGGCTTCTGAGGCCTCCCATGATCTGACACAGCTGACTTCCCTGCATCCTCACAGGCCTTCCATGCTGGCCTAGATCCGCCCCCACGGTCCTGAGCACAGGGCCTTTGATTTTGTAGTTTCCTTGTCCTGTGCACAGGGTAGAGTCTACTTGTCAGTCTTGGGGTGATGTCACACGTTCAACAGATTCTAGTATCCGATTTTCCTCCTAAGACCTTTCTTTTTAAAATGACCAATGAACAGGTTTTGATATTTTAAAAAAGGATCAATCCCATTTAACTCTACTGTACAGTTTCAAGAATTATCACAAAGCATTAAAAACAACAACAACAACAACAACAAAACAGAGTCAATCAAGAACAAATTTGGGACTCTTATGACGTAAAGCCTGTTTTTCAAAATTAAACTTGAGTCACGGAATTAGAGCATTTTATTATTTTTTTGTTTTATCCTCACCCGAGTACATTTTTCCTTTTTTTTTTTTTATCCTCACCAGAGGACATTTTTCCATTTTTTGTTCAGGTAGAATGGGAGGGAGAGAAGAACAAAGAGAGAGAGAGAAACATCGATGTGAAAGGGACACATCGAGTGGCTGCCACCCGCACAACCGACCAGGGCCGGGGACAAACTGCAGCCGAGGTACGCGCCCTTAGCGGGAACCGAACCCGGGTCTCTCAGGACCGCAGGCTGACGCTCTAACCGCTGAGCCAAACCGGCCAGGGCATTTTTCCATTTTTTGTTCAGATAAAGTGGGAGACAGAGAGAGAGAGAGAGAGAGAAACATCGACGTGAAAGGGACACATCAAGTGGCTGCCACTCGCACAACCAACCAGGGCCAGGGACAAACTGCAACCGAGGTACGTGTCTTTAGCGGGAACCGAACCCGGGTCTCTCTGGACCGCAGACCGATGCTCTAACCGCTGAGCCAAACCGGACAGGGCTACAGCATTTTACAGGTGGAAAGTGTTAAGCCCAATACTTAATACAAGGAAACTGGCCTGTCTCCCCATTAACATGTCTATAAAAGGATGACGATTGCCTTTCTCACTTGCAGTCCTGCCCAGTGCCAGGTGTAGACTAGGTGGGTGCTGGGTGTGTCTTTAGCCTGTGACTGGCCTGTCCCACAACTAGGGGGTGCTGAGTCACAGGCACTGAGCTATTGTGACCAGATGTCCAGGTTTGCTCATCATGGTTTTGGCTCTGAATGTAGTCCTGGCATAGTTAGTGATAGCTTCCATCTTCCACTCTCAGAAGTGGCTCCATTTGGATGCTAAATATATGATCCCTTACACTACGCCCAATTCCAGCATGGAGGCCTGCAAACCTAGAGGAGCCCAGGGAAGCCCCTCCCCCAGCTCTGGCCAACTTACTGAATAGATAAGGGAACGAGAAGTTCAGTGACATCAAGGCCTCTCCCAGGCCCCAACCCTCACACTTCATTTACCAGAAAGTTTGTTAAGAGGAGGGTAAGAGCCCTGGCTGGTTTTGCTCAGTGGTTAGAGCGTCGGCCCGCGGACCAGAGAGTCCCGGGTTCGGTTCCCGCTAAGGGCATGTACCTTGGTTGCAGTTTGTCCCCGGCCCTGGTTGGGGTCGTGTGGCTGGCAACCACTCGATGTGTCCCTTTCACATCGATGTTTCTCTCTCTCTCTTCCCTCCATCTCTCCCTCCTGCTCTATCTGAAGATAAATGCAAAAATGTCCTCGGGTGAGGATTAAAAAAAAAAAGAGGAGGGCAAGAGGTCGGTATATGGACATCCTTGAGGGGCACAACCTCTGGCAGGGAGCAGAGACTAGCTTGTCCATGATGATGGGACCCAGCACTTCTAAAGAGCCCACTGACAAGAGGGCAGCCTCTCACAGAACCAATGAAAGTCCTTTCCTGAGAGGCCGAGGCACCTGGACCATGTCCGCGCTCCCTCTCTGGGGAGCACGCCTGCTCCACACAGCAGGCTGGAGACAAACCTCCCTCTCCCTGCAGCTCCCCTCACAGGCCAGAGAGAGGCAGCTGACTTCCCAGGGCAACATGCGAGTCCAGGACCCTCCCATGGCTTTCTGTCTGCAGGTCTGTGCACAAACTCCAGCAGACCTTGTTAGCATCCCAAACTGACTTTTGTTTTCATGGGAGAAGATGGATAAGCTGAAGATGAGGCTCTCGGAGTTTTGGGGAAGTGCTTTTCTGATTTCTTCTAGCAGGTGGTGAACACACACATGCCTGGTTCACAGCAGGGAGCCTTCAGCAAAGGAGGGTTCCTCTTCCCTGGCCCAGGCAGCTGGCTAGTCCATGCTTACTTGCTGGACAAGCATTTACAAAGCGCTGACTAGGCACACGGCCTCAGCAATGGCTGGAGGTAGCATGGGTCGCTCAGGAAAGCAGTTAGCGCTTCCCTCGCTGGGAAGTCAGCAGAAGCGCCCTCCCTCCAGCCAAGCATCTTCTATGAGGAGCAGACAGGATGCTCAGCTGCAAACCTCTACCATGGGGCTAAAGAAGGAGGTACAGACGGGCTCTGCACTGACACCCAGCCCTGTCCCCAGGCTCCTGGCTCAGCCTGCACAGCCCGATGACAGTGAGAGTGGGGGAATGTGCCACCCACCCGCCCCACCCCAGGAGTGTCCTGCAGGTCTCAGCCCACCAATACTTACAACAGTAAGTTTCCTGGAACAGACATGGATCGCTCTTCCTTCCGTGCTTGGGGCTCAAACGGGTTCCCAAAGGAACGCTTTCTCAGCATAGACTTCACCAGGATCTAGGGAGGACATGTCAGTCAGCATGACGAACATAGGCCCCCAGGCTCCCAAACACACTGGCAGCCGCTGCTCTGACTCCCTGGGTGGCAGCTGCGAGGTGGGCCCTGCTGAGACTCCCTTTCAATCGGCAGAGAGAAGAAGAGTATGCCAGCCAGGAAATGAGGAGGGTACAGAGGGTGATGGTTGAGGGTGAATTCCGGGAATTGGGAGGAGGAACCCAGTGCAACTGGTGCCTGGGGTGCTAAGAGGCCGGGGGGGACTCTGTGAGGGGTCTGGCATTCGAGGTTGAAAGCGGGGCTTTAACCTGACAGCAGGGAAAATGCCCAGCTGAGGCGGGACGGATGGAACGGAGGAGAGGCTGTACTGGGCAGCACGGAGGAAGCTGAGCAGTGGCCTGGGGGACATGCCAGGAGGGGCCGCTGCACCTTGGCTCTTTGACTTTGTCCCCCCTCCTGCAACAAGGACAGTTCTGTGCCCCTGCCCACATACACACAAACTCTCACGCATATGCATAGCATCAGGGGTACATTCACTTGTTTATTCAATCAATCAATCAATCAATCAATCAATTAATCAACAGCTAGTCATTGAGCGCTTGCCATATGCCAGACCCTATTCCAGGCACAGGTGATAAATGCTGAGGCAAAAATTCTTGCCCTCATGGAGCTTATATTCTAGTTGGTGGAACAGGTGATAAATAAGACAAGTCAGTCAATATATGGTTGTCAGTGGTAAGGGCTAAGGAGAAAGAAAGAAAACAAGGATGGGATAAGGTAGGCCAGAGAGGAGGCTGGCATTTTAGGTAAGGCACCAGGAAAGGCTCACGTCTCACTGAGCAGGTGGCCTTGGAGTCAAGGCCTGCAGAAGTAAGGAAGCGAGCCCCGTGGATGGCTGGGCAGGAGCATCGGAGGGAGAAGTTCAAAGGTCCTAGACTCTGCAGGCAGCAGCTTATATTGCACGTGACTGGAGCCGAGCAAATGGCGGGAGCAGAGGAAACGAGGTCACCGGGGCTCTGGGGGTGCACAGGCTGCGCAGCGTCTCGCAAGGCTGTCAGGGCTGTGGCTCTTACTGTAAGTGCCATGGGAGCCCGAGAGCGCAGGGTCTGAACTGAGAAGTGACATGGTCAGGTCACCAGGACCACCCAGGCTGAGGGCGAAGGTGAAGGTGAAGGCGACCTGGGAGGTTGTTCCAGTGCCTTAGGGGAGGGGAGAGGCTGAGGCCAGGAAAGTGGCCGCAGGGACCCTGTGGGAGCTGACTGGCCCCAGGACTCACAGAGCCCTGGAGCTCTGCAGAGCACAGGCCTTCAGCCAGCTGGCCTAGGGGGCTGCACCCAGCGGGCCTGACCTACCCACCCACAGCCCGGCTCCCTCCTGGCCTTGTGCTCGCCTTGGCTCACTGCGATGCCTGTGAAGGGCAGGCCCTGGCTCTGTGTCCCACACCCCCAAATGGCCGTCAGGGGCTACCTTAGTAACTTCAACTGTGAACATGGAGGACGTGCAGAGGAAGACGAGGAGATTCAATGGGAGAGGAGAATGAAGGGCGCTCACAGGTGGTGCCTCACTGACGGGGCCCTGGGGCTGCCTCTCTAACTCACAGGCCTCCTAGGCCTTGGCGCCTAGGACATTCCCTGGAAAATGGTACTGTGACATTCAGTACACGTTAGGAAGGGAGGGAGGGAAAACGGAAGGAGGGAGGAGGGAAGGAAATGCTTCTTCCAGTCACGTGAACGTTGGCACTCGGCAAGCGCAGTCTGCTTCTTTAAATCATTCACCCTCCTCACCAAGCCTCCTCGTCTCCCCACCACAAGGCGAACAATGGGGCCTCTTTCCCGCGGGCCTCCAGCAGAACCGTGGCCTCGGTGGCCTAGTGTCGAGGCTGGCTGACCAGGCGGCCGCCTAAACCCCCACAGGGCCCAGCACAGAGCTGGTCTCAGGCAATGGCCACGCTGCCCCAGGCCCTCCCAGGACAAGGAAGCCTTCTGCCCCTCACCCTCTTACCACCGTGGTCCAGCTGGGGATGAGCTTGACCGAGTTCTTCACCTCCTCCTCGGTCACCTCCACCACGCTGCAGTGCTCCTCCTCCGAGGGAAGGGGCTCTTCCCCATTCTTGGTCACCCACGGGTGCAACTGTGGAGTTGGGAGGGCAGGGAGGGGTCAGGGCCACAGGCAGACAGATACCCAGTCAGCAAAGCACCATGGGCATTCCACCAGCAACAGCCTTCGGGGAGCCCCAAGTCCACAAACCCCAAACTCAAACCCAGTGCACATGTGTCCTGGGGTAGGGCCCTCCACGAGGAGAAACTGAGACCTGTTCGCTATGTCCCAGCCCAAGACCTAGGGTTCCCCCACCTTGATGTCTGGCACCCCAATTCTCCTTTCGGGATTCTTGTCTAGCATCTTCAGGATTAGGTCCTTTAGTTCCTCGCTGACCTTTGGCCTAAAGAGAGGAAAGAAAGAGATGAGGGAGAGATGGTTAGGGAGGAGACTTTCCTTCTCACCTCTCCTTCCCTGCCTTGCTCTGGGGTTCCCCGATTAGCACCCCAGGACAGAGACACACCCGACCCTCATTTCTCAGAGAGCAGGCAGGACACCCCCAGGGTGCCAGGGGAGAAGGAGAAAGTTTCAGAACAAGTGTATAGATGTCTTTTTTTCCCGAGTCTCCCTCAGGAGGCAGAGGCCACCAACACAGAGTTCCAGGGGTACCAGAGATGGTGAGGACAATGCGGAGAGTCACTTTATGGGACACCAGGACACCTGTACAGTCACTCAACATCTTATCCCCGCCTCCACCTGGGAGGTGGCCAGGAAAGGTTTTCATGTCAGAGGAGACCAAGACCACAGAGGTGAGCGGGTTAGGCCATGGCTGCCCGGAAGAGGGAGGGCAGGGGAGAGACTCGGGGGAGGGGGACTCAGCTCCACATCAGCCTGGCCCAGCTCTGCCCAAACTCCAGGCTTCTTTGCTACCAACATTCTCGGGGAGCCTGTCCCTCCAAGCCTGCAGAGAAGGAACCCACTCTTGGGACTGCTGGCCTTGGTACCCTCTGCTGTCCTAGTTACTGAATCCCTCTGAAAACCCCAGGGCTGGGGAGAAAGCTGGCCCTGGCAGGGTACGGCGGGCGGAGGGGCCCAGGAGACAGGCACTGGCAGGAAGGGTCGGCAGCCAGCTGGCCAGTGCTGCAGGGCAAGGAGGCAACGTGGGGGTGGAATCCAGAGGCCAGAATGCCAGGGCCAGGGCGTGGCCTCTTCCTGTGGGCTTGGGCAAGCCTCTCAAAGACTTCAAGCTGAAGACAGGATGATCCTCATTGTGCTTTATCAGGACCCACCTGGCCTGGCTGTGGGGCTGGGCTGGATGGAGGCTGCCAGCAGGGAGGAGAGAGGCGGTGGCTGGACAGGCTGAGGCCCGAACTAGGCAGGCACACAGGTGGCCACACAGCCAAGACATGTCAGAGGTGGACTCGGGAGGGCTTGGGGCCTGGACAGGAAGTGGGCACAGGGGAACAGAAGTCACTGAGCTCAACTCCCAGGTCAGTCTGTGACCTGCCTTGGGCACTTTGAGCAGATGGCAGAAGGGCCCTGAACACTGAGGAGCCATGGTAGCCAACATCATTATCAGAACTGTGGATGAGCAGGAAGTCCTCTCTGCACAGTCCCTCTGGGCTCAGAGACCTCAGTCAGGAAGGAAGGGAGGGAGGGAGGAGGGACTGGCTTCAAACCCCAGGCCCACTGATGACTCCTCCAGAGACTCCGCGTTTCCATCTGTGAAATGCGGCAACACACTGGCATCTTGCAGCCCCCACCCGCCATGTGTGGGGGAGAGGGAGGTTCCCCCGGGGCCAGGGTCTGCATGGGGGTGGTGCTATGGCCCCTGTGGAAGCCCTCGGTGAAGCAGCAGTGCAAATGTGTGACATGGGTCACCCCCGCCCGCTCCCAGCCTCAGAACTCCATCTGCACAATGAGATCCATCCCACCAGGTGTCTCAGAGACCCCGATCCACAGCCCCTGGCAGGGACCAGCACCCCCACCTCCAGATCTGCAGGTGGGGGTGGGCCTTCAAAGGGCAAAGCTTTGCTAAAGACATGCCTCCCTGGGGGTGGGCAGGAGCCCCGCTGGGGGATAACTCACTCCTCAGGAAATACCACGTCCTCGTTCTTGATCTTCCTGTGCAGGGCCAGGATGTAATCATCAATGAATGGGCACTGCGGGTGAAGACACAGAGGAAGGATGTGGGCCCAGGGCCGTAACTCGTGCTGGAGACCGGCCCCATCTCTCTGGGGGTGGGGGCAGCTCTGGGACTCCATTAGTGGGGAGGCAACTCGTTTCACTTGCTCAGGGCCTGGCACCCAGTAGGTGCTCAACAAACACTGACTGAACAATTGTCACTGAGGAAACCATGAGACTGGGTGTAGCCACCGGCATAACTTCCACCTGCAGAAAGGCCCACTCCTAGGGCCTGGGATTTGGGAACATGCTCACTGAAGTTCCCTCCTGCCCCTCCGTGCGGTCACTAGAGTGGGAGCATCTGGGGACAGGGATCTCGGCCAAGTCAGTGTTGGGTGTCCCCAAGGCCCAGCCTGACCCAGAGCAGGAGTCAAACAACTTGCTAAATGAATGAATGAGTGTAAATGAATGAATGGCACCAAGGGACACAGGACAGGGAGCACTCTAGCTGGAGAGGTGGCGACTCCACCATCTAGATCTACCCTTGGGCTGTCTGCTGTCCCTGGACGCCTTCACACAAATGCCCTCCCAAGACAACAAGATAAAAAACAGAAAAAGGCTCTCTTCCCTTGGTCTCTCGGAGTCCAGTGCACGCTGGCAAATATCACTTTACTTTAGGACACAAAGGAAGGGCCTGCTCCTGTCCTCCATCTGGCCCAGCTGGCCCGGCACATGGTGCCCGCCCACCCAGCACTCACCTTCCCATAGACAAAGCAGTACAGCGTGACCCCAGTGGCCCACACGTCCAAGGCCTAGAAAGAAAACAGCGCATATCAGTCCGCCAAAATGAACCAGCACCCCTAGCCTAGCCAGTCCCCGTGGGCCGTGGGAGAAGGTGTGCCGGGAACCTCTTTCCTCAGCCATGTGTTTATTCAACAAACACCCCCAGGCCCTTGCTCACGCTGCTCTGTGCAGAGCGCTGGCCGCAGGCATGACCGGAACTGGCCCCGCCCATCAGGAATTCCAAGTTTTCCTTGGAACAGGCCCAAACTAGATACACTTTCTTTCTTTCTTTTTTGTTTATCCTCACCCGAGGATATTTTTCCATTTTTCCTCAGATAGAGTGGGAGGGAGGGAGAGAGAGGGAGAAAGAAACACCGATGAGAGGGACACATCGAACTGCTGCCTCCCGCACAACCGAACCAGGGCCGGGGATGAATCGCAACTGAGGTACGTGCCCTTGACCGGAATCGAACCCATGACTCATTGGTCCATGGGCTGACACTTGAACCGCTGAGCCAAACAGGCCAGGGTGATACACTTTCAACTCAATAGGTGCAAAACTTCCTTCATGTACATTGCTTCATGTATCATATAGATACACTCCAGAAACGATGGTTTGTATTGAACTTATACTCGCTAAACCAGCTCATCACCCATCGTCCTAACGAGCTACCGGAGAAGCCACCATACACCTTTCTGACCCCAGAAACAGTCCCTGCGCTTGCCACAGCCCTCGTCCTTGGCCCCCTCCACTACTCCTCCCGGCTCCCCCACACTCCGATTCTAACATGTGCTCTCTCTGTATTTTCCCTTCTGGAAGCAACCCTCTGCCTCCTCTCCTGGTATCTGCTTTCTCTCTTGTGTGAGTGATTCTCAAATCTCTACCTACATATTCTTGCCACAGATGCCTCATCTGAATCCAATCCAGGAACACCAGACAAATGCAAATTGACATCATTCTACAAAGTCACAGGCCTGTTCTCTTCAAAATGTCAAGGTCAGGAGAGAGAGAAAAGCCCCGCCCTGGCCGGTTTGGCTCAGCAGTTAGAGCGTCGGCCCACGGACCTGAGAGACCCAGGTTCAGTTCCCACTAAGGGCACGTACCTCGGCAGCAGTTTGACCCCGGCCCAGCTGGGGTCGTGTGGGTGGCAGCCACTTGATGTGTCTCTCTCACATCAATGTTTCTCTCTCTCTCTTCCCCCCTTTCTCCCTCCCACTCTGAAGATAAATGCAAAAATTTCCTCGGGTAAGGAATAAAAAAAAAGAGAGAGAGAGAGAGAAGCCAAGGAGCCCTCCCGCACTACAGGACACCAGAGATGTGACAAGTGAACTAAACTCAAGGTGAGAAAGCTGTGCTCACTCCTCTCACTTAGAGAAAGCCCCAACTTCCAGGCCTTAGCGCTGCCCAGGCCCCACCGTGCCCCAACCCTGTGCCCCCAAGTTCTCTTATGTTCTCTGGGCTCCACCTCCTCCTCCAGTCCTCCCCATTCTTCAAAGCCTAGTTCAAATCTCACATGTCCAAGAAGTCTGAGGGGAGCCTCCGACTCCCACACATGGGCTCTCCTGCCCTTTTCCATCTCCAGAGGGCAGAGAGCTGGGCTGCCTGGCTCTGTCTGTGCCACAGCCCGGGCCAGAACTCAGCACAGAGCAGCAGGCAGGGGACACTTGGGGACATTTTGCTGGAACATGAGAGGAGGCCAAAGCTGGGGAGTTTGTCAGACTCTAGGAAGAGCTAAACATGAAGGAGGGGACAGTGTTCCCCGCAGCACAAGGACCCTGGCATCCTCAGGTTGGAAATGAGGCCTTGCTAAAAGCTACCCCGCCCCTTCCCCTGAACCCCAGCCCAGGCCCGGGAGCCACCTTCCCACTGAAGCTCTGGCCAGAATCAGAAATGGCCTCGGGGGCCATGAATGCTGGGGTGCCGGCCGTGCTGGACAGCTGAGCATCGTTCCCCTCAAACTGGTTGCTGACGCCGAAGTCGGCGATCTTCACGTGGCCGTCGTCCCCGAGGAGCAGGTTGGACGGCTTGATGTCCCTGTGGATTATCTTCTGGCAGTGCACTGTGGAGAGAGGCAGCTGGAGTGCTGGCCGGGCCGCTGCCGGGAGCCCCCGCCGGCAAAGCCTGTCTCCAACTTCGGGGGAGAAGGAGCCCACACACACTCCTCTCTGGAAGACCTCAGGAGAGACTTCAGGGCCCTCTGCTCCGCTCTGCAGTGAAGGCACTGAGGCCAGACCAGCGGTCAGCTGCAGAGCCGGGACTGGACTCTTAGGGGCCTTTGCACTCTAAGTCCAGCGATCTCTCCATAGCAATTAAGGTACCTGGTGCTGACGGGGCAGGCCAGAGGAAACTGGGGAGTGGGGTTCAGAGGCCATCTCTGACTCTCCCATGTGATAGGCCCAAAGCCTATCAAAGTCATTCCCCAGTCCCACCCCCCACAGCCTGGTCAGAGATGCTCCTGCTCCTTGGACTTAGGGCAGGATTGGAGGGTGTCCTGCAGAAGTACTGCCTCATTCCTAAGGACTCTGGGCTGAGGGAGATTCAGAGAGGAGGGCATCCCAGGCCTCGGGACTGCTGGGATGCACGTGGCTGGGTAAGGCTGGCCTCCTCTAGCAGGCTGGGAACTCACGCTGCTTCCTGGGCTCAGCACTGCTGGGAAGAGACAGGCAGCTCAGGCTGGGGGAAGGCGCCGACCCCACCCCGCTGCCATCCACCATAAGCTCCCCTCTCAGCATATACTTTCCCCTGGACCAACAGATCCCAGGATGTTGGAGAGGAGGAAAGACAGAAAGGGAAGCAGGAGACGGGAGAGGAAGGCTGGGGGCCAAGGGAATGAGTGTAATATAACAACAACAAAACCAGGGATCCTACAGTGATTGCATGTGTGCCAGATGCACTCAGGGATTTGACACGCACCTCTCAGAGCAGAGTCTCGGTGGGCTGTGCATTTGACCATGGAAAGCATGGTCATCTCAAATCCTGGCCTCCCCTGCCCCCCAAACTCTACAAGGATATCCAGTAGACATCTCAATCTTTCTCAAAAACACATCCAATTCAGAACTTGATTTCTCTGTTGGTAATCCCCACCACCGCTGCCACCACCAAACAAACAAAATAGAGAACACCTGCTCCTCTTCTAGTTTTCCTTTCAGATAATAGCATATTACCCATTGCTCAGGTCTCTCCCTCAGACCCCATATCCAGTTCGTCAGCAAGTCCTATGGACCCAGCCTCTAAGGTATATTCCAGATCCGGCTGCTTCTCGTGCCTGCATCCCTGCACCCCTGCACTTGCCCCATCCATGAGAATCAGGCCTGGACTCTCGGGCCAGAGCCTTCCTGGGCTGCCTCAATTCTCCTTTCAAAGGACCAGAATCACGAGGCAGGGCCTCAGCATTTGGTGCCTCTGTTCACCTGCCGGTCCAGCCCCTAGTGCTCACCAATCCACCAGGAAGCCCTTCACCTTGATTAGCTGGGTATTGATGAGGCTTTACCCAGAAGTCAGATGGGATTAATTTGGTGTTTTTACTTTTGTTGTTGGTTTTTGTTTTTGGTGTGTGTGTGGGGGGGGGGGGTGGCGGGATAGAGTATGAGAGATAGACCCTCAACTGAGAAGAAAGTCCCAGGACAGGAAGGGGGTGGAGGCTGAGTTGGTACAGGGTGGTGCCCACCATTGACCACACCCAGGGTAAAATGCCCCCTTCCTATACCTCAAGGCCCTTGCTATGGACTTTCTGCCAAGGCTTCCACTGTCTCTGTGCTTAAGTTTTTCTATATGGTTCCCGTCACCTTGGCTGGGCCCTCATCCTGTTCCCCAGGGCAAGAATATGCTCCTGACAAATCAAGCTATGATTTTAGAGAGATGGACCCCGCTCTGCTCCCCAAACCAGGCCAGAAGCCTAGGGGTCCGGGAGCCCTCCCCAGGACCCGTGCTGTCCACCCCATCTCCTTCCTGTCCCCTCCCCACTGCCACTGTCCTAATCCAGGCCTCACCATCTGTCACTTGGCTGCAGAAACAGCCTCCTCCCTATCAGTTGGCCGCCTCTCACCCTTTATCCAGTCACCACACAGCTGCTGGACAGCTTTCTAAGATGCAAATCCTATCACACCTCTCCGCTACTCAAAGCCCTCGGGAACCCACAACACGCGGAACAAAGTCATGAAAGTCCTCTGGGGAGGCCATTCCCAGCCTTCACGCCTCAACCAGACTGAACTTCTCCCCATTCTCAAAGAGCCCATGCCCAGTCCCCTCTGTGCTGCTGCCCATGCAGTTCTCTGCCTGCTGTGCTTGCTCCCATCCATCCCTCAAGCCTGGCCAATGAACTCTTATCCATCCTTCAGGACCCTGGTCACAAGTGCCATCCTCTGGGAAGACTTCCTTGGCCCTCAGTGCTCTGACAGCCCCAGTGCCTCCCCAACTTTGGCAGGCACTACACTGTATCATCTGCCTGCTTAGATTCCTGTCCCTCCTACTAGGCTGTGAAATCCCTGAGGTCACATCTGAGTCCTTGTCACCTCCCTGCCCCCAGCTCACTTAATGGGTACTCATAAATGAATGAATAATGAGTGAATAAGGGAGTTCGGGAGATAGAGGCTAAGCTAACATCCTCCCTCCTGAGCTCTCCTTACAGTAAACCCACACCACCACCACCCACAGGCTCCAAGCCACAGCAGACTCTGGAGCGGCTGGACATAAATCTCTTCCTTCCCACATCTCTTGAAGTCCTGTAGAGAGGCTAAGAGTGGCTAAGAACTCAGCTGAGGAGAGATATAGATAGAACACCCAAGGCACAGTATGACTTGGTGACCAGGCTTGGTGAAGGACCTGATGCAAGCCAGAGGAAGTCTGGCACCACCTTCGCCTTTCCCAGCCCCCCCCCCCCCCCGGTTTAGGCCCCGCCCCGTGTCCACGACCCCGCCCCCACCGGAAGCTGATTGGCAGATCGGCGCTGGCTGACAACTACTCAGAGCCGTCTCAGCCTGGGCTCCGCCCCCTCTGGTGTCCCCCTCTTCTGTCCCCGCCCCAGACAGCATGCAGGCAGCCCTTCACTCACAGTACTCAAGGCCCAGGATGATGTCCCTCAGGTAGAGGCGAGCTTGTTCCTCGGGGAAGGGCTTGTCGCAGGGCACCTCCATGACCGGCCTGTGAAGGGAGGGGAGGGGGTGTTCAGCTGAAGGAGGTTGAGTAAAGGCAGAGAGCAGGTGAAGGGGAACAGGGACTGGGATCTTCAGGCCACTTGGGACCTCCCAGGAGCCCTCTATGCTCAAATGGGTCCCCGGAACCCAAGATATTAGCTTTTTCCTCCCATATGTGATAAAAATTTAAAAATACATATAGACACAAATATCCCTTTATAATCATTATACTTTCAAATTAGCTTTATCTTAATTTCTGATTGGCTTCATATTCCTTCTTCGAAGTACTTGATTATCTATAATCAAACAGTTGCAAAGATGCCATTTAGAGCAATGTTTCTCAAACTAGGTCCAGACCCAACACCGGGTCATGAAATCAACTTAGTGTGTGACTAGCCCAAGCTGAACCCTGACACTGCTTCTTTTTCCTAACGAAGTAAATATATCAGAGCATATCATTCGTAATAAGGAGGTATGCTGTTCCGTAAAACTTTGATTTCAGTTACAGATATAAATTGCAATGTGAAACTTATATTTCTCACTTTGAATGGAGGTCAAAAACATCTGAAAGGCCCTGGGCGAGTAGCTCCGTTGGTTAGAGCATCGTCCCAATACACCAAGGTTGCAGGTTCAATCCCCGGTTAGGGCACATACAAGAATCAACCAATGAATGCATAAATAAGTGGAACGACAGATCGATCTCTCTCTCTCTCAAATCAGTAAATTTAAAAAAAATTGAAAGCCAGAGCCTTAAAGGGACACCACTGCCCGCCTCCTCCACAAATACGTCTTTAGGAAGTCCCCCAGCAGAGACAAGCTATAGCCTATATTCAAGGCCTCAGCAATTAGGGCCTCCACTCCACTCAGGCCCATGCCCACTATTCCATGTCTGCTGCTTTGTAAATATCCTGAGAGGGCCAAATAAGAAATGAGGCAGACATGAGTTACAACCCTGGGTTTCATCAGTGACTTGCTGTGTGATGTTGGGCAAGCCACTTACCCGCTCTGAACCTCAGCTTCCCCTCTTGTAAATGGGAGTGAATGGAGTCCCACCCATCCGACTCTCAAACTTGTAAAGCTGAAAGAACTCTTTGCAATTTGAATATAGGTAAGAGTTGAGTCCCTTCTCTACACTTTGCTTGATAAACATTCCTTTCTTCTCCCTCTTCCATCAAAATCTTCTTTCCAGTTTTTCAAGGCCTGGTTTAAACCCCTCCATCCCCACCCCAGCCCTGGCTGGTTTGGCTCAGCGGTTGGAGCGTCAGCCTGCAGACCAGAGAGTCTTAGGTTCAGTTCCCGCCAGGGGCATGTACCAAAAACAAACAAACAAACAAAAAAAAACCCCACCCCTTCTTCCAGAGGCCTCCCTGACTATTCCATCCTCAATGACCTCCTTCAAAGAATCATCCTCTTGGTCTCTCACATCCCCCCAGACCAGAGCTTCCCAAGGGCAGGGCCTGGGCCTCTGCTTTCTCCTAGAGTAGCTGACTCTAGGACTAGGGACACAGGAAGGGAAAGGAAGGCCTGGATGAGCCTTGACCTGCCTGATTGGAATGGGGAACTCACCCCTTTCTCAGGAGGTCAAACACTGAAAGAAAAGAAAAGAAAAGAAGGTAAGGTGCCGCCAGGCTGGCAGAGCAGGTGATGCCAAGGTTCCTCGCTGTTCCGGAGGGTGGAGAGGGTGTGGGCAGCCAGGCATACTTGAGGGAGGGACAGGACAGGGTATCAGAGGAGGTAAATGGGTAAGAGTGGGATCTACTATGGACCTGCCTCATCTGATTCAGCTGACCCTTTTTACAGGGCGAGGGTGGGATAACTGAGGCTCAGAAGGGGCAGAAATTTTCCTAAAGGTCACAGTAGATTGGCAGGTAGGAGAGGGAGTGGAGACTAAAGCCTCGGTCTCTAATCTGTAAGCCAGTGTGCATTCCTCCTGCCCCTCTTCCTGAGGGCCTCGAAAGCCCAGCCACGAGTCAGGCCCCAGGAACTTAATTTAACAACAACATTAGCATTAATAGCTAATATGTCTTGCATATAATGACTCATTCACTCTTCACATCAACCCTATGAGGTAGATACCATTATTATCCCCATTTTACAGGTGAGGAAACTGAGGCACAGAGCTATTAGACAGGGTCTGGGAACCCACATCATGTAGCCTGCTTCCTGTATCTACCTGACCCATTGTTTCTCTGATCAGCAAAATGGGAACTTGGAAATATCTGTTGACTCTAATTGGTATTCTGAGCCTGGTTCAGCAGGGCTGGGCAAGGGAATCCAGGGCTGGAGAATGTGTATTTCCTCCTTGCCCCCACTGAAGGTCATGTGTATTCCCAAGGAGCCCCTTGGACCAACCCCAGGTAAGCTGCTTTGGGAATGAGCTGGGTCACTCACCCAAATAGAGATTGTCCTCAGCTGGGTCATCCAGGACCTGGTCAGAGGGAGCAGACATGGTGGTAGGGCTTGAGGAGGCATGGGGTGAGAATCCCAAGCCTCCATGTCCTCACCAGCCCCAGGACCCCGTATACTTTGCAGCTACCCTGGAGAATGGAGCAGGAACTGTGTAGGCACTGAAACATGAGGCCTCGGGAATCACCGACGCTCACCTTCACTGAGACCCTGAGAACATCCCAGACCAGCCTGAACTGACTCCTGACGCCTCTCTGCAGTCCCTGCCCCAAGCGGGCTGTGTCCTTGGAGGCCTCAGCCACAGCCGCTCTCGGCAGGATCCCTGGGTCTGTGCTCTACAGGACTCGAGCACAGGTACCCACCCGCTCACCACCACCTCCTACCTCGATCAGCTTGACCACATTCACGTGGTCCAGCTTCTTCAGGATGGCGATCTCCTGGTACACCCGTTCCAGGGGCAGCAGCTGCTTAGCTGGTCCTCCCTGGGCAGCCTGGGACCCTCTCGGGGGAGGGCGACCTGTGGCCAGGAAGGGGAGGCAAGCCCTGTTGCAGGAGTCTGGGTCTCAGCACGGCCCCGCAACCAGCCTCAAGCAAAAATCTGGCAAGACCGTGGTTTGTCCCCAACCCACCAAGCACATGCCCACCATTAGGCCTTTGTTCATGCTGTCCCCTCCACGCCCAGTCCTAACAAAAACTAGCTAGGGACTGAGGCCTCCTCATCCTCTGCCCCCCAGCTAGGGCCCCCCAAGGCCCTGATAGATACATACGTGGAAAGCCATACTGCTTCAATAACTTCTTTTTGGAAAGAACTTTCATTGCCTGAGGAGGGAGGGGCAGAAATGTCACTCATGTGCAGCCACCAGGGGGTAGAACAGGCTGGTTATATGTGGACCGAGTGCCCTGGCCGGTTTGGCTCAGCGGTTGGAGTGTCGGCCTGCGGTCCAGAGAGACCCGGGTTCGGTCCCTGCTAAGGGCATGTACCTCGGTTGAGGTTTGTCCCCGGCCCTGGTTGGGTCGTGCGGGTGGCAGCCACTCAATGTGTCCCTTTCACGTCGATGTTTCTCTCTCTCTCTTCCTCTCCTTCCCTCCCACTCTATCTGAACAAAAAATGGAAAAATATCCTTGGGTGAGGATAAAAAAACATAATAATAAATGTGGACTGAGTCTAGAAGGGTACACTGGGCACCTGCCACCCGCACTAAGGGTGTGGCTACGCGGGGTGAAGAGGTAGCCACATCTGAGTCTAGGCCTTACCCCTATTCTCCAAAAAGCCTTTTGGAGCTCTCCCCTCAGAGGTATCAGCCTCTGATTGCATATTCCCAGGGTCAAGAAGCTCACTTCCTTTGCATACCCCTAGAGACAGGGAGTTCACTCCCTTAGGAGGCAGTGTTGTCCTCTGTCTTCCCAGCACAGATTCTGCCCACCCCGCAGTTTTCTAGGGCCCGGGTTGGGCAACACCTCCCTCCAATCCCGACTCACATAGTGCCTGTCTTCACTTTCGTTGTAGGCCAGCCTCACCACGCCGTAGGCGCCCTGCAAATAGGCACAGGTCAGCGCCGCCTGGACAGAGCAACCTCCCCTGGGGCTAGTTCAGGCAAAGGGGAGCCTGGAGAGCTCTGGCCAACCCTGCCACATCCTATCTCCACCTCTGCCACCAATGGGCATACATTTCAGGCAGACAGAGAGGGCTCCTGTGCCTTGGTAACTGCCCCTGCCTGGCTCAATGCAGCTCCGTGCCTCCCCCAGTCCCTCCTTGTCTTCCATCAAAAACTCTGGGAAGCCCTGGCCAGTGTGGCTCAGCGGACTGAGCATCATCCCATGCACTGAGAGGTCACCAGTTCAATTCCCAGTCAGGGCACATGCCCAGGTTGTGGGTTCCATCCCCATCAGGGGATGTGCAGGAGGCAGCAGATCAATGTTTCTCTCTCTCCCTCTCTCTCTAAAAAAAATCAATAAAAACAACAACTTTGGGGAGTCAGGAATCAGGACTCATCTCCCATCTGCTCCACCCATACCACTATTTCCTACAGAAGACAAAACTGCCTGAGCCTTCCTGCCTCTGCCTCACATCCCCAGAGAAGGGAATGCACCAAGCAGAGGGTCCTGACAGGCTGCCTTCGCAGAGCCCCAAATGAAGTTCCCACAGCTCCTGGCCTACCCCAGTTGTACCTTGCCAATCTCACTCTGCAGCTTGTATTGGTTCAACTGCACACAGTCCTAGGGGGGGAAAGAGGAAGCATCAGGTAAAGCTTGATCCGAGGCAGCATTGCTCCCACCTCGGGAGCCTGTTCAGAGATCAATCCCAGCCCCAGGCCACTCACTCCCAGGCTCCAGATTTCATCAACTTTTCAAGTTGGAATGGGAAAACTTGGCGGTGCCAATACCACTGAAAGTGACAAGAAGCCTCATGAATGGGGAGCCAAGAAAAAATGCACTAATTTCTGCCTGGATCCTGGGGTCTGGGAGACCCAAATGTGTAAGAAACCCATGCAAGGATTTCCAGAAGCAGCTGAATGTGAGGTCTATACTGCATGGACAAGAAGGCTGAGAAGAGGGATAAAAGACCAGAGCCCTGGCTCAGGCATAAAAAGCACAGCCTCTGAAGGCTGTAGATGGCTCTGTATTCAGGTTCCCTTTCAGACCTGAGTGGCTAGGAGAGAGCCTGTGGGAGCCCAGAGGTTGGAAGCATGCTGGCAGCTTCTGAGTCAGAGCAGAGTTGAGGAGGCAGGATTAGAGGTGGGGGTTCAAGCTGGGGAAGTCTTGAGGTGGGAGGACACTATGTCTGTCTTCAAATCTCTTCTTGGGGGACAAGGGAAGGGTTTATTTTCGAAGTCTGATCTGGGTGGGGATGGAAATGGTGGGACTTACAAGATATAGAGGTTGGCTCAGCTGGAGCTCCCCTGGGTGGGAAGAGGACTTATTGTGAGGTAGTGAGCTCCTCAACTCTGAGGGTATGCAAATCAAAAGCTGGACAGCTGTGTGGCAGGGATAGGAACTGAACAGGTCTTCACTGAGGACTACTAAAAAACTCATGAGCACCCCCTAGCTCTACCCCACCAACCTCTGCGTCCGAGATGGCCACGTGGTGGGACTCGATGGTGGGCCTCCGCCAGGCCCGTGGGGAGATGTGGCTGACAGGCCCTGTGGTGTAAGGCTCAGCCTGGGCCTCCAGGCAGCTTCCTGCTGGTCGCTCCTGGAGGGATAACTTCCTAGTTGAGAGGCTGGGCCGGGCTAGGGGGAGTCTTGAAGCACTGCCGGGGATCATGGAGGCAGCCCTGGCCCGTGGCGGGGGTTCCACACAATTTCTGTTGGGCTCTGGGCCGCCATCTGCCTCCTCCAAGTGGGTCACATCGATGGCTGCCACTCGTTCCACCAACTCTGCCCGAGGGTCCTGGCAGCACACCGCTGAGCCCCCCTCCATTGCCACAGTCAAGGGGTCTTCTGTGCAGTCTTACTGGGAATCTGAGAAACGAGGGCAGAAAAGGCTTCATCAGTTCTGGCCATGGAGCAAGGAGGTCCAATTTCTAGGCACCTTTTCCCGTTGCAGCCACAACCCTATGGGTCGTACGTCCATGCTTTTGCCCTGCCTATTCCCTCTGCCTGGGTTGCCAGGATCCAAACTTGGGCCTGTCCCTACTCACTGAAGGATTTCTAGGAACTTATCTGGCTCTGCTACACACTAGCCCTCTAGACCTCAGTATTCCCATCTGTAAAACAGACACAGTCATGCCTGCCTTGCTGGCTTCACAAGGGAGCAAGGAGAATCTGATGCTCTGGAGTCAGAACAGATAGACGGGCAGAACATGGGAGGCCCAGCAGCTTGGGAGAAACAGAGTCTAGGGTCAGCTCAGGCCGGCGTCCAGCAGACAGCCCAGCGACTCACCAGCCCCAGCCACCAACAGTTGAGCATTCCAACGCTGCTGCCTGGAAGCTGAGCAGGGCTCTGATGATGCAGAAGCCTCCCTGATGCTCCAGGCCCATCCACCTCCTCCAGGGAGGCCTCTGTGATATTCTAGTCCCCAAACCCCCCTCACTGCTTCCAGGAAGACTGCCATGGGCTCCAGCCTCTCTCATTTCCTCTGCTCTGGTAGCTGTCAAGAGAGACTTCACTGTACTAAAATGTCATTCCTTATTTTTCCTTCCAGTTTATTTGTGTGGCCAAAATGTTTGCCATATCTGTTCAGGCTGAGATGCTCCCCCTGGCCTGGCCTTACACCCTCCCTGGCCCTATTGCAGTCTGAGCCCCAAACCAGGCCAGGGGCCAAGAACTTGAACCCTGAATCAACCTCCAACCTCCAGCCCTGGCCCTCACCTTTGACCACACTCCTGGGCTGACCCTGACCCCAAGCTGAAGGCTGACACTCAGGCTGGGACCCATTTCTTCCTCAGGCCAAGCACTGGCCCCAGCTCCTTCCTGGGCCAAATTAGACATCTTCTCAAAAATAGGAAGTGAGTGGACCCCTGACTCTCTGCCCTTCCTGTGTGGTGGTAACTTCCTCTGTCCGCCGTGTAGCCACTTGGAGAACACAGGTCTCTGTTTCACCCCTCCTCCATTCCCCTATCACCTTGCTTTGACAGATGTCAAGGAGGCAGGGCTCACTGGAGCCCACTGGCCACAGAGGAGCTTGGGCTGGGTTCCAGTCCCACCTGCCTAGCTACTGTGGGGCCCTGGCCAGGCTCCTTCCTAAGTCTCAGCCTCAGCCTCCCCATGGAGGTGAGACCTTCCCTTCGCAGGTTCCCTAGGGCCACAGCAAGGCTTGGAGATGGCTCATGGGTGCGGGTGCATTCCAGACCCCCGTGCCTGGTACACAGTGTTGAATGAGTGAAAGCCTGGGAGTGGTGGAGCTGATGTTGACATGCGGAAAGGAAGGGGGAAGGGAATCCAGACTGGTAACAGGAAAAGACGGGAAGCTGCACCTAGAGTATGTGTGGGGGTGGGGGTGGGGGGGGTTGGGGGGTGTTGGTGAGGCTAGAGCATCAAGGAGGCCTCCCTGGAGGACATGAGGAAGGCGGAGCGTTGGAACTTCGGAGAGGCCTTCCTGGAGCAGATGAAAGGGGGCAGTGAATGAGGTTAAAGTATCAGAGAGGCTTTGGGAATCAGGCCCCTTGCAGGAAGGAGGAAGCCGAAGCTGAAGAGCGCCCTCCCAGTCTGGCCCACCCATCCCGCACCTCCCTGTTGGTGGCTCAGCCTGCTGGTGCCTGTCCCCCTCACTCTGCAGGCCCTTTTTCTCCCACCAGAACATAAACTCCACACAGTAGGGCTCTTGTCTGCCTTGTCTCCCTAAGATCATTAGTGTCTGCAGCAGTGCCTGGCACGGAGTAGGAGTTTGATAAGTATTTGTTGAATAAATGAGTGGTTGCCATAGTGATCATTACAGCCCTGTCCCCATTAGACAAATGGGAAAACAGCCTCAGAGAAGGGACCCAAAAAACCTAAGTCCCCAGCCCACAGTAGGAAATGAATCAGTGTTAGGAGCTCCTGTCCTCTGGAGCTCCAAAGGCAGGCACCAAAGGACAGCCACCACCCACAGAGGGTAACTCATAAAATCTGATGCCTAAACTCATAAATTTTGCATGATTTTCCTGAGGCTGTTACCACAACCAGAGGCCATCATCCTTTATCTTTCTTCCCCTTTTCTCAGAGGTGGGAAGAGGCCCAGCAAGGGGCAGGGATGGACTTGGGGTCACACAGCCAGTCAGGGCGGAGCCTTCCTGCTTCAGCCCGTGGCTCTGTTTCCTGGTTTAGGCTCTGCACCGTAGGCAGGCGACTGCAGGCGACTGCGCCACGTGCCCGGGTGTTCCTCACCTGCAGAACGGGGCTACTAGCAGCCTCAGCTCCCTGCACTGGTGGCCGTGAGGAGTAAAGGAGTGAATGCCCATGCAGGTCTCAGAACTGGGCCTGCCGTGAAGGAAGCCCCGTAAAAGTGAGTTGTTGTGCTGCTGTTGTTGTGACTGCCTGGCACACGCTGTGGCCCAGATGGATGCGCGGGCGGCACAAGGCGGCTGTGAGGGCTGACGTCAGGCCTTCCACCCTCCCTCCCGCCTGGATCAAATTCAGGTGACTAAGCACGTCTGTGCAGGAGGCCCGGGAGGCCCCAGGTTCCTGCCTGTGTCCAGGAGACAGGGCCTGGCGCCTGAGGCTGGGCATGTGAGAGCATGTGTCTACACATGAGAGCATGTGTCCAAGCAGGGCTGTGGGCCTGGGGTGACAGCGTGTATCTGTGTGTAGGGGTGGGGGGTTCCACACATAGGCAGGTGTCTGCAATGGAGACAGAAATCTATCCCTGTGGTCTCTATGGGTGTACAAGTGTGATCACGTGCACTATGGGGGCCATGGAAACCTGAACACGGGTCAGGCTTGAACTTCTAACACCGTCACCTGTTCACCAGCCTGTGGCTGCCTGCTGGGCTGGGCTGTGTCTTGGGCAGGCCCCAGGCCTTTCTGGGGGGGTCTCTCAAGGCCCTCCTCAAGCTTAGGCCCCAGACGCTTTGTAGAAACTGATTTGGCAGATAACTAGGGGCCACATGGGCAAAGAGAAGAATTGAGAGGCTGGGACCCAGGCCCAGGGCAGGGCAAGGACTCCTCTGGGCATAGGGAGCCTCCCAGGGTCCAGCCAGTCCTGCAGCTGAGAATGGTCAGACTCAGGCTTTCCCTCACCGGGAAAAGCTACCCCAAACCTGTCCTCACAGGCTGGGCTGTGTTGTCCTACGCCACTGAGACTCTTGGAGCCTCAGTTTCCTCATATGTGGATCAGATAGATGACCACCATTCTGCCAACTCCCAGGGCTATAAAAGGAACGGATAAAATTGTGGATAATGAAGCAGTTTGTGTCCGAGCAATATGGGACTGAGATGTGTCGATGTGTCGGTGTCAGGAAGCCACCGAGCAAGAGCCTTAAAGTACAAAGTACAAGCCCACATCTGCCTGCCCGCTGGCTCTCGGAAGGCCTGGCACATATCCCTGTCAGGCTCCTCCCCCCAGGCTAGGTCCTCCACCCCAGGTATCTGGCTATTCCCAAAGGATGCAGACTCTGGCTTCAGATCCTGCTAAGTCTTCTCCTTAGGATGTGTCCCATCCACCTGGGTCCCTCAGAGAAGACTCAGAGCAGGACAGAGCAGGTCGATCCTGCCCTCATCACAGCTGGTTCAAGCAGCCCTGTCTGGGATGACTTCGGGAACAAGTTAGGTCTCATTCTGAGTTTTGGAAGGCTGCTGTGAACCTCAGAGCCAGGTTGAGCAGGGGACCAGCTGTGATCCAGACAGAGAGGACACAGCCCTGACTGGCAGAGGACTAGTCAGAGGAATAGCTGTAAGGAGGTGGTCTAGCCCCCCGGGCCTGACACAGAAGGTGGCCCTGACATTGCTGAGCCATGTTTATGCTCCTGACAAGTGTTTGGATGGCCCAGGCAACGGGCTCCCTTGGCGTCTCCCGCCTCTGCCCAGGATGACTCATTCCCCTCCAGGGAGGCCTGGGAGTCTGCTGCCAAGTCATGCTTGAGTATGTCCCTGCTTCGAAGACACCCCCTTTCACCACCCCAGTGAGGTCCCAAGCACCAAGGTGGGCTTTGCCCGATTCTGCACGGCAATCCTCAGCGCATCCTCAGTGCACCTTGGCTGATGGTCTCCAGGCCTCACCCTCTACCTGTGCACCTCCTCATCTTCACACCCGGTCTGTGCCTCCAGTTCAACTCTTTCCAGCCAGCTGTTTCCTCCCCTCCATGTTACTGGACAGCTCAGACTCAACAGGGCCCTGATTTAAGTCAGCATGTCCCCCAAGTCTGCTATTTCTTCTCCGTTCCCACCTCAGAGAGGGCACCCCCATCCTCCCAGTTCTCCCAGGCCAGAAACCCAGCAGCCCTCCTTGCTCCCCCACCCCGCACGTAACTCTCCTCTCTGGCCGCCTCACACTACTGGCAGCTTCCTGAACTGCAGACTGGGTTCTGCTGCCAGGCCTTTGTACAAGCTGTGCCTTCTGCCAGGAACACACCTCCCTCTCCTTTGTTGCCAGAGGACAGCTCAGACATCTCCCCTGGGAGCCCTCCCGGATCTCCCCAGTGCTGGGGAAGGTCACCAAGTTGATTCTCTCTAAAAGTCCAGATTCAGGCCTCCACTTTCTTTCCCGGCTGCTTCGCCCACACAGGTCTCCCCACCTCTAGGTTCACATCCTGACGGCACCCAATCCCATCCTCCACAGCATTTACTAGAGGGAATATCTCTATTATGTAAATATGGTCCCAGTTCTCCCCGAGTAGGAACTTGCAGTCTGGGGGACAGAGGGCAGGAGACCTAGCTTCAGACTGGGGGCTCACAGGCTGGGGAGCAGCCAGGAACACGGACTCCTAGGATGCAAATCCAGAGTCATTCATTCATGCAACAAATACTCCTGCCATATGTGCTGAGTTCTAGGGAATAAAGCAGTGAACCAAAAAGATAAAATCCCTGCTTTCATGCAGTTTAATTTCTACTGGGGCGAGAAGAAACAAACAAGAAAGCCTGAAATTAACAGATATGTCAAGTGGTACCTGCTATGGAGAAAAATACAATTGTGCAAGGGGGATCAGGAATGAGGAGATGGGGGCACTATTTACAGTGTGATCAGGGAAGGCCTTTCTGATGCATCACTTGAGCAGAAGCAGAATCTGAAGGAAGTAAGGGAACAAGCAGTGTGGACATCTGGGAAAGGCATTTCAGGCAGAGGAACCAGCAACTACACAGGCTGTGAAGTAGAACAGTACTCACTCTGTCTGAGGAACAGCAAGGCCAGTGGGGCTATACTGGGGTGTTCAGCATGTGAGAGGTACCTGATGGTGATCAGAGTTACACCTGGATGAGAAAGCCGTGTCATTCACTGTGTCTGGCCTCAGGGATGGCTTCCTGGAAGAGGTGGCATTTAAGGGCTTTCATGACCACTGAGTTAGGATTTCAGAGGGGGAGAGGATGGAAGTTCACACTGTGCATGACAGAGAGCCGTTACCTGGCTGGGAATCAAGGATTGGCTTGGGGTTGGAGGGTTGGGAGGGTTAGACAAAAACCAGAAGGGCCTCAAAAGCCAGAGGAGGATGTTAAGCAGGGGAATGATTGGTCCAATGAGGTTTAAAATGATACCTCTGCCCACTGTGAGGATTGAGGGTGAGAGACCAAGGAGGAGGTAGGTGTCACCAGAGTCTGTGGGCCTAAGAAACAATCTGGCACACAGTGGGTGCTCAATCTGTATGTGCTGAACGAAGGAGTAAGTGCTGTGGGGGAAGCCAGTGCATCCTCCCTGGGATCCTCAAGGACACAAGCTGTGTGCTCCTGCTGCACTCCTGGGCCCACTTGGCAGATATGCAACCCCCTGTGCCCCCACTGAGGTGCAGTCCTGTGACCTGGGACATAACTTTCTCTACACACCCCTGGACCCTCAAGACCCACACACACCCCTCCAGGGCAGGCGGATGCCAATGTTCGTGTGATCTGCCCTCACACACCACTCTATCCCTGTAATGCACCCCCCCACACACACACACAAAAGCACACTCCAGTGTCCACGTGACACACGCACACCCGCCTCCAAACACCACACACAGGTCCCCGCGCACGTGTGCGCCTTCCGAGCCTCCAGTTCGGTGCCTCTCTGGCCTCAGAAGCCGCAGAGTCCGCCTCCACCGCCCCCCTCCATCCCCTTCCACCCCGCCCTAGCCAGGGAGGACTGCGCAGCTAAAGCCACGAGCCTCATCCGTCCCATTCATCCCCCGTCCCCCACCCCAGCTCTCGAAGGAAGATTCAGGGGAGGGTCGTGTGGGAGGAGCGCTCCTCGCAGATCCACACGTGGGTGCACCCGTCTGGGCCCACTCAGCACAGACAGCCTCCCACCAAGAGCTGGGGCGGAGGTGGGTGGTGCGCCGAGTATGAACGCGGTCCCGCAGACCTGAGTTGGGAAAAGGATGCAGATGGAGGGGTGCCCGCATAGATGCGGTCCCCGCTGCCGGCGCAGACAGAAGCAGGTTCGGGAGGTACCGCAGATATAAGGAGGAGGATCCGCGTACGGTCGAGGTCCTGCCTGCCCTCGTAGATTCGGCCTCGCTGACTACCCCTCTCTCCTGCAGGTTTCCAGCAGACGTTCAGCATTCGTCTCCTCCCGGTCCCCGACCCAGGTCCCTTCCCCGCAGACTCCTACCTCGGCGCGGGGCGACAGTCTCCACCGCCAGGCGGGCGGCCAGGCTCGCTCCCGCGGCGCGCGCCCCGCCCCACCCGCCTCGCCCAGGCCGGGATCGCCCAGCTCAGACCGCCGGCACCGCGGCTCCGGGCAGCTCTTGCTCCCCCGCCCACCGCCGCGCCGAACCCGCGCTCATTGGTCAGGTCGCGCGGCGCCGCCCAATCAGAACCCGGGACTCCCGCCCGCTCCTGGAGGGGAGGGGCCGCGGCGGGCCTGAGGCTCCGGAGAGGTCTTTCGGGGTGCATCGGGGCCGGCCCTTCTACGCCCCCAACGCCCTGAAGGGGCTGGCTGGAATACCCCAAATTCCTCCGGGCCGTGGCCTGGGCTTCCTAGCGGGGCCTGGAGGGAACGGTGCCTCCCCCAGAAAACCCTTTGTCCCTTGCAGTTTCGGCCTGGCAGGGGCAAGAGCGCCCCGCCCGGGGACAGGGAGTTGAGGCGAGGTGCGTACTAGGGAAAGGACAAAGCGAGATTGGCGACAAGGGATGGGATCAAGGTTGAGTGCCAGGGAGAAAGGCCCTGAATGACAGTCAGGAGTTTAGCCATCTGCTGGGTGGGGGTAAGAGAGACGGAAGCGGTTTCATGTTTGCAGAAGGGCTGAGCAGGCAGCAGAATGGCTTAGCTGGGCCCCAAGGAATGGAGAGGACTCTCCAGGATAGCCTGACCCTCACGGTGACTATTTCTGGGTACTCTGCCCCCCATCCCTCCCCTGGCGAACTCACCAACTCTTGATTCAGTTATGCTGTTCTCCGAATGTGAGCCCTCCGCCACCTCTCATTACCACTTGTCCAAGACACAGCTCATATCACTCCCCCAAACCTGGCTTCTCGTGTTTTTGTCTCAATCTGGAGCCAGAAACCCGGGAGTCATAGCAGGCTACCCCTTTCCTGCCCTAACCAGTCCATCACCAAGCCCTGCCCATGCTGCCTCTTAAACAGGCCTGGAACTCGCCACTTCTCTCTACCTCTCTGCTCCTCCCTTAGCTCAGGCCACCACCTGATCTTACACTGGGATTGCTGCAGCAGCTACTCACTCGCCTCCCCCCTATCCAGTCTTACCACCCCACCCAAAAGCCTCTCTCCACCTGGTGGCCAGAACAATCTATTTTTTATCCTCACCCAAGGACATTTTTCCATTTTTGTTCAGATAGAGTGGGAAGGAGAGATAGGGAGAGAGAGAGAGAGAGAGAGAGAGAGAGAGAGAGAGAGAGAAACATCAATGTGAAAGGGATACATCGAGTGGCTGCCTCTTGCACAACCCCAACTGGGGCGGGGGACAATCTGTAACCGAGGTATGTGCCCTTAGTGGGAACTGAACCCAGGTCTCTCTGGACCGCGGGTTAATGCTCTAACTGCTGAGCCAAACCAGCCAGGGCCAGAACAGTCATTCAGAAACACAAATCCAACTAGTCAGCTCCTACTTAGGAATCTTCCATGGCTCACCAGTATCCCAAGAATAGGTCCAATCAAGCCTTCCATGACCTCAGTGCTAACCATTTGCCTAACTCATTTCAAGGCTCGGTTCAATACCCCTCTGCCAGGAACCCTTCCCTCTGACCTCCTCACTGTCCAGTGTGGGTTACCAGCCGCTCCTAGGGACTTGCTTGTAATGAGCATCTGTTTATCTGCCTGTTCCCCCTCTGGACTGGGAGCTCCTTGAGGGCAGGGACTGTACTGGATTCATCCAGCTCTCAAAATATGTTTGTCAAATGAATAACTAACTGGATATGGTAACTAGGGGGTGGGATATGTGGGGTTGGAGTTCTGGGCCAAGGAGGCAGTTTTGGAAGTTTTCAGAAAAGATTCATAGTTGTAAGTAGAGCAATGGGAAAGGGTTCGATAATTCAGAGCAAATAATGCAGGGGCCAAGGACAGAATATTCACTTTTAAGGGGGAAATATTTCCGTACCAATTTTGTTTAGGTAATAGAAATCCCACATATGAACCTCAGGGAAGACCATTTGGTATGTCAGAGGTGCTCCACAGACTTTTCAGATATGGCTCTTTCCACTCACTGCTCCAGCAACCGCTGCGTATAACACTTGTCTTCATGGGTCAGGATGTTGGCTAGAGCTCCAGCCATCACATATGCATTCCAGGCCGTGGGATGAGATAAGGTGAAGAAGAGGGCAAAGGATCTACACCAGCTGTCTTTTTTTGGGGGCTGGGGTGTTAATCCTCACCCAAAGATACTTTTCTATTGATATTTAGATAGAGTGGAAGAGAGGGAGGGGGAAAAAGAGAGAGAGAGAAAGAGAACAATCAACGTGAGAGAGGCACTTCTATTGGTTGCCTCCTGCATGACTCCAACCTGCAACCCAGCTCCATGCCCTTGACCCTGAATCAAACCTGCAACCCTTTGATCTGTGGGTTGATGCTCTAACCTCTAACAGCTGAGCCACGCCTGCTAGGGCATGCACCAGCTGTCTTTTTTTTTTTTTAATCCTCACCCGAGGACACTTTTGCATTTATCTTGAGATAGAGCGGGAGGGAGAGAGAGAGGGAGTGTGAGAGAGAAACATCGATGTGAGAGAGACACACCGAGTGGTCGCCACCCACACGACCCCAACCAGGGCCAGGGACAAATCGCAACCGAGGTACGTGTCCTTAGCAGGAACCAAACCCAGGCCTCTCTGGTCCACGGGCCAACACTCCAACAGCTGAGCCAAACCGGCCAGGGCGCACCAGCTGTCTTTTAAGGAAAGTTCCCAGAAGGTGTCACATACTTTCACATATATTTCATTAGTTAAAACTTAGTCACATGACCAGACCCAGCTGCAAGAGGAAATTGAGAAATGCAGCTTTCATTCTAGGCAACCACATATCCAACCAAGAACCGAGGGTTGTATCACTATAGAGAGATTAGATATTTGGGGACAACTAGGTGACTCCACTATTGAAAGAGGATAGAGCACTGCTGTGTGCCAGGCTCTGTGCTAGGCACTTTCACATCTTATCTTATCTTATCCCATCCTGAGTAGAGGCTATTATTATGCCTGACTCAGAGGAACTTAGAGTGTTAAGCAACTTGCCCAAGGACGCTCAGTGACCTGTGGCAGAGCTGCAGTTGAAACCTGTCTTTTTCCTGCACACCTGTCTGGCTGGAAAATCAGGAGAGGGTGGGTCCTAGAAACTGCTGGAGGGAAATCATTCTACAAAGGAGGACTTGGTCAACAGTGCCAGAGGCTGGCAGGCCGAGCAGGATCCAGCCAAAGTATCTGCTTGGATTTGGCAACGAAGATACTGCTGGTAAATTGCAAGGGCACCTAGGAGACGTGGTGACAGGGCTGGAGGCCAACTGCAGAGGGAAGTGTAGTCTTGTCTTTCTGGAATGGTGTCAGCGAAGGGGGGGGCAGGTAGAGCTGCAGGGGAACATGGGCCAGAAGGAGGGACAAGAGGGGAGCAAACACAGGAGTGGGAGAGTGGGAGAGAGGTGAGGCAGCCTTGCTGGGAGGATTGGGTAGAGGGTTGAACACAAATGAGGAGTCCTCTACTCATTTAGGAGGGAAGGGGGCAGGAGGTGCAAAGCAGGTAGGCATGGAGAGGGAAGAACAGGGAATTCCTGTCTTGTAAAATCTGAAGTGTGGTTCTTGGCTGGGAAAGAGGGTAGGTCAGGGGCCTGCTAGCTAACGTGGTAGCCGCTAGCCCTATGTAGTGATTTAAATGAATTAAAAGTGAATCAAATAAAACATTCTACATCTTGGTTGTTCTGGCCACAGTTTTTTTTTAAATTCTCACCTGAGGATATTTTTTCATTGATTTTAGGTAGAGTGGGAGGAGGGGGGGGGACATTAATGTGAGATAGACACATCAATTGATTGCCTCCCTCACGACCCTGACTGGGGCCGAGGGTTGAACCTGCAACTGGAGTATGTGTCCTTGACCGGGAATTGAACTATCGACTCTTTCCAACACTCTAATCACTGAGCCAAACCAGCTAGGGCACACTGGCCGAATTTTAAGTCCTCCATGGTCACACATGGTTGGTGACTACTACCTCAGGCAGTACAGATGGAGATCTGTGGCTGGCACGGTCTAGACAGAGCATGGTGATGGAGGTGTCCAGAGCCCCTGCCTGGCTGTAAGTCCACACTGGTGGTCATGCCCACATCAGGGCCCCCGGAGAATCCTTCCACAGTCTTCATTCAAGACCTGCCTCCCTTCTTTGGGATCCCCCCAGCTCTCCCTCCTGGGACAGCCAGCCCCTTCCTCACTTCTGCTTTCACGAGGCCGCTCCTGAGGTTGGTTCTCTGCTTGTCCCGGTGCCAGGCCTCCTAGGGCATGGGAGGGGCTTGTGGAAGATTGGGAAGAATGCCAATGTTCGGGGCTGTGCCAGGACAGTGGCCCATGTTTAGAAATGAGCTAACTCCCAGCACTGACCCTGCTGGGCTCAGGGCAAAGTGTCAGCTCACCGCTGCCCACCAGCAGATCCAGAAGGACCTCAAAGATCACTCGGCTCAACTCCACTGTTCACAGATGAGGACAGAGTTTCAGAGAGAGCTGAGAAAAAATGCAGAAGGCAGAAGCTTGTCCTCGTTCCTTTTATTGTACTCCACCCCTTGCTTTCCCCAGACCTGGTGTTCAGACAGAGCCGGGCAGGCCTTGGGAGCTGGGGCTGGGCCACAGGCGGGGAGCCCAGGGTTTGGCCAAGGCTCCCACCTGACCAGAGGTAGCTGAGTAAGGATTCATGGCTGACGGGGCTGTCCTGGCCTGACACACTTGTGAGAAGCATTTCCCATGGAGGTGACATGGTGTGGACCAGACGTCTGTGCTTGCAGGTGTAGGTGTGTTCAGATGGCTGTGTTTGCAGGGCCCAAGCTGTTCAAATACACAGTGTGGGTAGAAGGGGGTTGTGCATCCAGGTGAGTGTGCAGGAAACACTGTGTGGCTCGTGAGCACACCACACACCTGCTCACCACCGGCAGTTGCCAGGCGATGCAGGCCCAGGCTGTCTGCTAACTGATCCAGAGCATCTTAAACGGAGGTCCCTAACATGGCCTGGGGCGGCTGCTGGCCTTGCAGATCACGTGGCCAGCCTTGGCGAGTCTGGTTCCCTAGGTCTGGTGTGCGCCCAGGGCCTGCGGGGTTGATGAGCTCCCCACAGAGCTGAGGCCAGTAAGACACAGGGCTCAAGCAGAGCTATCAAGGGCATGTTGTGTGGTGCTGCGGATGCTCTGTACTGTCCAGTAGGGCAGCCACCGGCCCCATGTGTCCACTTAGCAGTTACAACATGGCTAGTTTGAGGAATCAAAGTTGTTATTTCATTCCATTTTAATTAATTTAAATTTAAATGGTCCCCTGTGGCTAGTGGCTGTCCTATGGGAGAGCACGGGTCTAGAGACCCGAGGTAGTGGGACGGGTGAGGCCCACAGAGGGAAGCTCAGAGCTCCAGTTCAGGAGCGAGAGGGGCCGCCCGGCGCCAGCACCTCCACTCCAGGAGAGGCTGAGGCTGGGGTGAAGTTCTCGGTGGGGTGCACAGTTGGAATCAAAGCTCAGAATTGCACAGGTCTCTCCCGGGTCCACACTGAGCTGCCGGCCAACCGATGTCTACCTGGCTGAGAGGGCAGGAGAGCTTCTGAGGAGACCCCTCCCCCCGGGCTGGACCCCCCAGGGCCTCCCCTGGGAGCCTCACACTGTGTCCAGTCAGGAGTCAGGGGCGGAGGGTCAGGATGTCCTCATGTTCTCCTGCAGGCCCAGGGTCGAGCTGGTGGCCGCGGGGTCACGCTCTCTCTGTGTGACCATTAGGGTATAAACGTCAGTCTCCAGAGAGCAGCTGGCTCCCCGCCAGACTTAGGGGCCTGAGGCCTCTGCAGGGCCTGGCTGGGGAGTGCTCTTACCGCCTCAGGCCCCATGTCCTCTGCGTACTTGAACTTCTTCTGCTTGTAGTAGTGCCTCTTGGGCAGGATGTGCAGCAGCAGCAGGTCGCAGAGAACGGTGGCCTGAGGGCAGGAAGGCGGTGGCTGACCAGGGAGGCTCTCCCACTGGGAGCCCTGGCTGAACCTTGCCCTCTCCAGACCTCAGGGGCTGGAGGGCAGAGGAGGCTCTGCAGGCCCCGCAGGGGACTGAGACTACCCCAGCCCACCTCGGTCCTCCCCAGCTTTGGGCCTCAGTGTCCTCAGACATACTGTGGGTGTAGGGTGCTGGGCGGGCTCAGTGAGGGTGGCCTATTACAGTCAAGTTATGGGGTGAGGCACTTGTCGATGCTACTGAAATGTGGAAGAAGAGGAACTGACCCCAGCACAGTGACCCCACGTTCCCAGCGCTTACCACCCCAAAGATGCCGATTCCGGAGCCGATGGTAGTCATTGTAGGAATGATGTCAAACTTCCCAGCCTAGTGGGGGCCAGGGAGGGAAGGGTTAACAGGCAGCAGGGGCACCATTGGAAAGGCCATCCTCAGATGCGTGCCCCAAGGCCAGGCCCAGGCCCAGGGGGCACCTTTCTGCACTGTCAGCGAGCCCCACAGCCTGTCACCAGGGTCCTGACTCAGCTGCTGGTTTTCACCTGGGCTCTGCCCACCCGGACACAGGGAGATGATGGGGGAGGTGTGATCCCAGGCTAGAAGCCCTGCCCTCAGGAGAGAACTGCTGAATGAAGCCCACCCTACTTTCTGTCATCTGTCACCACAGATGCCCAGCAGGCACTCACAGGACCCGAGAGTGTCTCTGGCTGCCCCTCAGCCTGACACTCACCTTGCCGTCCACAAGGATGTCAAAGCGAATCCCAAACACCTTGAAGAGGTGCCGGTGGTTGGTCCCATTCTCCACGAAGTACCTGGCAAACCTTGGGGAAAGGGTGGGGTTGGAGGAGCGGTGATGGAGAAGCATCTTGGGTGGGGCGTTCCCAGAGCATCAGGGATGCAGGGGCCCTGAGAGGTCCATGAGGACAGCTCCACGCTCCAGGATTCCGGCTCATTTCAGGAACGCTGCACTCAGCCCTCGCCCTGACTCCTCAGGTCAGCAGTTTCCCCAGCCATTCCCGCCAGCTGGGCCTCAAGGGGACCCAGAGCCAGGGACAGGGGCCCCGGCCTCCAAGGTCTTGCTCCCTGCTGGCTCCCTGCTTGTTCAATCCCTGGAGGACAGGAGAGGGCCAGGCTCCTCTGCTCCCCTCCCAGGGACACGTGCTTGGCCCCGAGGATTCTGGGACTAGAAAAGCCCACAGGACCCCAAGGAAGGGTGCAGTGGTGGGGGCCTGGCAGGCACCTGAAATTGAAGCCTTGAGACAGATTTTTCTCCGCATACAGCCCATGGAACTCATAGATGGGTTTGCAGTGTCGCACATGCCAGTCCAGGTCACAGTTCCAGTCGATGGTGATGCCTATCACGCCACCCTGCCAGGACACAGGCGTGTAAGAGCTGGGGTTTCAGGATCCAGAAGGACTGCCTTACAGCTGGTGCCGGCAGTCTCTTGAAGAGGAAGTATTTTTTGGCTTGAGAGCGATGCCGAGAAACCGCTTTACTGTCGGTCCTCTCACCCTCTCTGGCCCCACCTCCTGCCCATCACACTCCAGCTTTCTGACAGTTTCTAGAACACACCAAGTGTTTCCTACTTCGGGGCCCACGCAGATGCACTTCCCCCAGTTCCCCACGAGGCTGGCTCTTTCTCATTCTTCGGTCATTTCCCCTCCGAGACCTTCCCTGACCACCACCCCAGTCTAAAATATAAATATCTGTCACTTTTAATCATATATTTATTTTGCATGATTATTTATGAACACATTTCTTCAAAGACTGGGAACTCCATGAGGGTGGGGTTGTCTGCCTCATTCACTGACCCCTGAGTTCCTAGCAAAGTCATAGTGTGGGAGGCAAGTGAATAGTTATTGCATTAAAGAGTGAGTCTGTGCCCAGCCGGTGTGGCTCAGTGGTTGAGCGTCGACCCATGCACCAAGAGGTCGCCAGTTCGATTCCCGGTCAGGGCACATGCCCAGGTTGTGGGCCCGATCCCCAGTGGGGGGCATGCAGGAGGCGGCCAGTTGATATTCTCTCTCATTGATGTTTCTATCTCTCTCTTCCTCTCCCTTTCTCTCTCTCTCTCAAATCAATAAAGAAAAAAATTTTTTAAAAAGAGTGAGTCTGGGAAGACTTGGGCGAGGAAGGGAAAACTTAAGAAAGTGAAGCTCGTCAGGGTGGGCCGAGCAACCAGCAACCGGAGAGTTGGGAGGTGATCAGAGCAGGGCAACTAGGCGGTAGGCTGATACCTGGAATAATGGGGGGTGAGAAGTTCCTAGTGGGGGTGGCATGGAGATTGTCAGGGACAGAGGGCTCTAACAATCAGCATTCTGGTCCTGGAGTTGCTACAGTGTAAACCCACTGCAGGGGAGGACAAGCTAGGCCCCAGGGCTGAATTTATTTACCTAGTGTCCGCTTTCGCTCTCCAGCAGCTGACTTGAGTAGCTGGAGCAGACACCATTGGCCTGCAAAGCTAAAAATATTCTCTGGTTCTTTTTTTTAAATATTTTTAAAAATTGATTTTAGAGAGGAGCGGGAAGAGAGAGAGAGGAGCATGGATAAGAGAGAACATCGATTGGCCGCCTCCCGCATGCCCGGGCGTACTCTCTGGTTCTTTAAAAAAAAGTTAGCTGACCCCTATTTCAGACGAATGTGTTGTGAGTTTTGTGTGTGCACGATGTCACAGAAGAAGGGCTGATTCCCAACAACCACATGGAGCATGGACAGAGGGTCGCCACGTGCCTGGCGGCCCTGCATGAACTCACTTGATCCTCGAGACCGCCCCATCAGACGGGTGCTGCCATTGCCTCCACTTTGCAGGCACAAAAGCTCAGACACAGTGAACGTAAGAGACTTGTTTGAGGTCCCGCCGCTCCCTAGGGATGGAGCTGGGATTTGAACCCAGTCGGACAGGTCTGTGTTCCTTAGGAGATACTGCTTCTCTCAGAAACCCAGGTGATTGGGATCTTGGCCTCTGGAATTCCCAGCATTTCTCAGGGCCACGGGCCATAGGCCATGGGATTCAAGCTGTTTTTATCTACTATTTTATTTTATTTCATTTATTGATTTTGAGAGAGAGAGAGGGAGGGAGAGGGAGAGAGAGATAGAAACATCGATGAGTGAGAACATCAACTGGCTGCCTCCTGCATGCCCCCCACTGGGGATCAGGCCCACAACCTGGGCATGTGCTCTGACCAGGAATCGAACGGGCGACCTCTTGGTGCATGGGTCGATGCTCAACCACTGAGCCACACCGGCCAGGCTTATCTACTATTTTAAAAACAGTGGGACCTCAGCAGACATCCAGGTGACAACATCTGCCCATGTCCACTCACTATGGGCATCGCTTCTGTGCCAGGTCCATGCCAGACCCTGCCAAGGAGCCAGCCTGACCCTGCCTCCCCAGTATTAGAGGATAAATCCATTATACTCAGCCCACATCAGGGAGGCCGGAGCTGAGACCGACTGGGCCTGAAAAGCCTTTATGGGCTTGATAAGCCCCAGGTGGGGCCCACTCGCCTGGCGCAATACCTTCTCGGCCAGGGTGCCGAAACTCTGCCCTGACGCTCGTGCCACGTAGCCGAGGTTGAAGAACGGGCACAGCGGGTGTAAGATCTTGTGATAGACGCATTTCTTCATGTAGGTGGCGTTCACCTCCTCCACCAGGTTGCGCCTGAGGAGCAGAGGGCATTGGCGGCAGCAGTAAGCCAGCTGGGAGGGTCCCCACCGTGTCCCGAAGCTCTAGGACCCCTCATGGGCTCCAGAAGTGCCCCTCCCACAGCCCTGAGAGACTGAGGGCAGCCCGTCCCAGGAGCCCGGTCTCCAGGGTGAAATGAGCAGGAGCAGAGGGTGGCGGCAGCAGCCTCCTGGTACCACCTGCCTATTTGCCCACTTTCCCCACGAACCTGTTGACCTGGAAGCGTGGAAAGCTGATGCTGTTCTTGATGAAGAGAGTGAAGTTCTCAGCCTCTCGGAGCAGGGCAGGGCTAAAGGAGACCACACTCACTCACCGCCCCTCCCCAGAAGTCCCACGCACCCACCAGAGCTCAGCATGGTGTGGGGGCGGGTCCTGCTGGGGGTCCTGATGGTGGATGGATGGGTGTGCTCTAATGGTGAACACAGGCCCCTTGGCAAGGGACCAGGGGGATCTGTGACCTGGGCTGCACAGATGGAGAGAGGGTGGGGTTGGAAGAAGGGGGTCCTGATCCTTTCCAGGATCCAGATCCAGATGCCCCTCTGTCAGGGCTTGGGGACCCTTCTCCCAGCTCCCTGGAAGGACACAAGGTGTTACCGTGGGACATTATCATCCACTTCCACAGGGCACCAGCCGAAGATCTCACAGGTCTGCACGGTGTCATTGAAGGCCACACACTTGCCTGTGCGGATGCCTGGAGAAAGGGAGGAAGCCCTGGGTGCACACCCAAAGTTGGGGGTGCAGGGGAGGCCCCCCAGGCCCCATCCCTAGGATTTCCCATTGATGGGGCATCCAAAAGCAGAAGCCTGAGGACAGAAATGTGGCTGGGTCTGCACAGGGCAGGCCAAGGTCAGGGTGGCAGGAGGGGAGAGGGCAGACAGGACTCCCTGGGGGGGGAGGCCCGGAGCTGAAAGGGGCTGTGGAGGGGGCGGGAGGAGGTGGCCTTACCTTGAGCCTTCCATTCTGCCTTCCCTGGGGTGCAGCCACTGTCATCCTTGCACGTGCCGCCTTCCGGATGCTGGGGGAGGGGAGAACTGCTGGCCCCAGGCCCCTTTTGCTGGGATCCTGAGAAGAGCCCCTCCCAACCCCAGGGCCCTAGGGAGGGTGTGGGCCAGAGTCTCAGATATCTTTGGGGTGACCCTTGCTCAAGGTCTCCTTCCCCCAGGGCCTGCCCAGGACCCCTCTGGGCTCATGCCCAGCTTCCCACTGCTGATGTCGACGGGCAGGGGCTTGTAGGCTGGCCTGGCACAGAGGCTCCACATTCTGCGTGGCACACAGCTGGGAGGGAAGCCTTGGCAGTGTCCGTGGTGGCTTGTTACTCTGTGTAATTCTATGAAATCCCCCACGTGGCCCCCGCAGGGAGCCTGGCCAGCTTCACGTGCAGCACCTAAGGGGACTCCTCTTCCATGTGGTTTCCCCCTTTGGGTTGAAGGAGGAGGGATGGGCAGCAGTCCTCACCTCTGCACAGTAGCCTTGGGCCTGATGGGGCGTCACGATGAAATTGGTCATGACCACGAAGGAGCTGTCCCCCTGGAAGTGAGGGGCAGGGCTCTGAGCTGGAGAACAGCCCCTAGAAGCCAAGCACTGCCCAGCAGCTCCTAGAACCCACAGGGCACGCCCTGTGACACTCCACACCCCGCGATGTCGGAGCGGGATGATGTTAGCAGGCTGCTTCTGCCCTTTATTCACAGTTAGGGAAACCGAGGCCCAGAGAGAAGTAGGGGCTGACTGGTCCCACAGGGAGTGGGGACAGAGCCGAGCTCAGCTCTGAGCGAGGACTGGTGGGTGGAAGGTGTATCCCTGAGACAGCTCACCTGGGCTGGGAAGACATAGTCAGCCACGTCCCAGACCTGGGGGCTCAGGTCTGGGAGCTGTGTCACAGCCAGTCCCTTGAGTTTCACAGACACGCTGCTGATGAGGCCACTGGAGGTCTGGTAGCCCTTCTCGTAGACAAAGACCCACCTGCAGAGAGTTGAGAGCAAAGGGGTCATTCAAGGATGGCAGGTGGGTGTGTGGGCCCCTGCCCTTTCTGGCACCAACTGGACAGGCCAAATCCTTTCCCTTTCCCTCCTCAGATGCATTTCTGAGCCACTGTCTGCTCCTGAAGCCACATCTCGCCGGAGGAGGAGAACCTGCCTCCCCCGCTGGCCAGCGCCCGGAGGTCCACCCTTCTTTTCGCTCTTTAAATATGAATTCCCAGGGAGGAGACCCACTGAAGGACTCTTTCAGGTTCTTTTCCAAGAGCAGAATTTGCTGATGCCTGCAGGCCAAGCTTCTTGAACCCCAATCCTCATTCAAAAAGTAACCCTTTCTTTCTGAGGTCCTCCCACTGAGAAACAGCAGAGCATGAGGGCTGAAAGTCTGGCAGCACCTGTCCGCCCCCCCCCCCCCCGCCCCCCGTGAAGGCCCTTGTGGGAGCGGCTCAGGCTGAGGCCTCCCAGATTTCTTGGGGAATTCTGGCCTTCTCTTCCCAGCATCGAGAACCCCTATTCCCATGGGTTTTCTACTTTCAATCTAGGAAGTTCAACGGAGCCCATCTCCCTCTTGCCCCAGGGACAGACACATGATCAAGGCTTGTCAATCAATATTTCATCACCCTAGCAACAGGGATGGGTCTAAGGATGAGCACATGACTTGGGAGTTGCAGCAATGAGGCCAGGGTTTTACTTGGAATTACTGAGAAAGAGACATCCTCTCTGCTGGGTGGCTAAGCAAGGTGGCCACAAGACCAAAACTAGGGTGAGTTATCTTTGCTGCCTCACAGAGCGAGCTTGAGAGTGAAGCCGACTTAGAGGAGAGCCGGGCCCGGGAATGGAGAGCGGCAGACTTGCACGTGTTTCAGCACCGGGACCCAGCCACCCCTAAAGCATGAAAAATAGACTTCTGCACTTAAAAAAAAATTTTTTTTTTCTTTATTGATTTTAGTGGGGGGAAGGGAGAGAGAGAGAGAAACATCGATGAAAGAGAACATCGATTGGCCACCTCCTGCCCCCCACTGGGGATCAGGCCCACAACCTGGACTTGTGTCCTGACCAAGAATCGAACCTGTGACCTCTTAGTGCATGGGTTGACGTTCAACCACTGAGCCACACCAGCTGGGCTCTACTTCTGGACTTTTCAGTTGCATAAGCTAATGAATTCCCTTCCTTTATTTAAGCCAGTTTGGGTTTGATTTCTATTGGAAACACTCTTACCCAGAGTGTGGTTCTCTAACTCATGGACAGACTCTTCATGGAGACTGATGTAACTCTGCTCGCGTGTGTGTGCGCGCGTGTCCATGGTGCCCATCGGACTGTGGAGCTGTGTATCCCCAGGGCAAATCTGTGAGCGCACCTATGGGCACGTCTGACGGTGGGCAGCTCTATTCATGCCCCCTTCGTCTCTCACTCTACCCTCAGTCCACCAGGCCAAGTAAAGCTCAAAGACCCTCTCCTGTGCCTTAGAACTCAAGCCTGGGAGCAGAATTCTCCAGGTCTCTTGGTCCCAGAGACGCTGCTCTCTCGGGGCTGTCTCCCTGATCCAGGCCCGGGAAGGCAGCCCACCCAGGTCCTCCTCTCACCTCCCATGGCCCTTGCCTCTTTCTTCAAGCCCCTCTCCTTGCCTGGCTCTGGAACCAAGCCACTCCCAAGCCTAAATGTGGTCACTGCTGCCCCCTGCAGGTCCCAGATGGCCACAGGTGAGGCATGACAAAGGCCCCCAATTCTCAGTGCCGTCAACCTGGCTCCCTGCCTCCAACCCCGCAGGAAGAGTGGGCATCACCTATGCCCCACCCTCCTTAGGTTGCTTCCTCCAGGATGGCCTCTGGCTTCATGCCAAGCTCAAAGGAGCTGTTGGGGAGTGATGTGGGAGCCGCTGCATGTCCCGAACCCCCTGCAGGAGAGCTCACTGGCCTCTCTCTGGCACCTCTGCCCCCAGCGTCCAGCAGCATTTCTCTCTTTGCCCAATACCAACTCCTCACAATATCGATGAGAACTGAGGTCTGCGAAGCATCTCTCCTGCGTCAGAGGTGGACCCCAGGCCAGGGCCCCCAGCCCAGCACTCTGCCCCCTCCACTGAGCATCGGCATGTGTGCCAGGAGCCAGAAGTGCGGGGAGGGGTGGGGTGGGAGGAGGAAGCAGAGGCACACTGAGGCTGCCGGCTGGGCTGATGTGCCCACTCTTGGTTTTCTGCCCCGGTGGCTGTCAGTCTGGGGGTCAATGGGAAAAATCAGATCTGGCATCAGTGACTCAGTTCTGATCATAGAATGACCACGGTGCTAGGTCCATGCCTTCAAAGCCTTGACCCAGCTTTGCTGTCACCACTCCGGGAGGTCACCATGGGGACATGATGCCAAAAACAGGGAATTTTCAGAAGTCCCGCTCCTTCCAGAAATTCTCTTTCCCATTCTTTCCCCCTCCTTCTCAGCAAAACCCTATAGTGAGTCTCTCTTTAGCAACCCCTCATGGAAGAGGCCACATGTTGGAATGGCCAAGAGTGTAGCCTCTAGGAGCACAGAGGTCGAGGTTCAGGTGTGAGCACTGCTACTCACCAGCTGTGTGGCTTCCGGCTACAGACTAAACTTCTCTGAGCCCTGGCTTAAAACAGAGGTGATGACACCTACCACAAAGACTGTTCACCCAACAAATATAAGCAAGGCCCTACCATGCACAAGCGGTGGCTGGGCCCCAGGAAGGAAAGAATCTAGGTCATTGTTTGGGGGATACTCCCATGAGTTCCCTTTAAAGAAATAAGCATGCACAGGTGCATAATAAACAAGCCTCATATTTTCACTGTCTCTACTCTTCCTTCACTAACTATTTATTAAAAAAATTTTTTTTCTTTATTGATTTTTTAGAGAGAGAGGAAGAGAAAGGAAGAGAGAGCTAGAAACATCGATGAGAGAGAACATCGAATGGCTGCCTCCTGCATGCGCCCCACTGGGGTTTGGCCCACAAACTGGGCATGTGCCTTGACCTGGAATTGAACCGGCGACCTCTTGGTGCATGGGTCGACACTCAACCACTGAGCCACACTGGCCAGGCCTTTACTAATTCTTTAAATGTCCATCTATCCCCATCCCCCTGGCCTCCATTCCCAGCCCAGGCAGAACCCCGTGTGAGCTAGACCTCGATTTCTATCTCCACTTCTTTACTCTCCCCCGAAATTCAGTTGCACACATTCATTTAGTCATTTAACAAATATTTATTTGTCAAGCCCCTATTATGTGCCAAGCACTGTTCTGGGCACTAAAAAGACAGACGTGAACAAAACAACCCAGAAGTCTGCACCCAAGGAACTTATATAAATGTGGACAGGTCCCACTGCTTGGTGACACATATTCCTTCCCCCTGCCCCAGCCCCCTGCCCCGGGCCTCCCAAAGGTACCTCGAACTTAAGTTGACCCGTTGGAAAAAGTCTGGCAGTTCCTCAAAAAGTTAAACATGGAATTTCCATTCGACCCAGCAATTCCACTCATAGGTACATACCTAAGAGGTCTGAAAACATACATCCATGCAAAAACGTGTGCATGAGTGTCCATAGCAATGTAATTCATGAGAAACAAAGGTGGAAACAACCCAGATGTCCATGAACCAATGAGTGGATAAGCAAAATGTGGTATATCCACACAGTGGAATATTATGTGGCCATAAAAAGGAAGAAAGTACAGATACATGCTACAACATGGCTCAGAGAAAAAAGCACGATTCAAAAGACCACATATTGTATCATTTTATTTACATGAAATGTCTGGAACAGGCAAAATAGATGTGGGACGGGAAATGGGGAGTGATTCAAAGGGGCACAGGTAGGGTAGGTTTGTGTTTTTTTAATTTTTTTTTTATCTTCACCCGAGGACATTTTTCCATTTTTTGTTCAGATAGACTGGGAAGGAGAGAAAGGAAGAGAGAGAGACAGAGAAACATCAATGTGAAAGGGACACATCGAGTGGCTGCCACTCGCACAACCGACCAGGGCCGGGGACAAACTGCAGCCGAGGTACGCGCCCTTAGCGGGAACCGAACCCGGGTCTCTCTGGACCGCAGGCCAATGCTCTCACCGCTGAGCCCAACTGGCCAGGGCTGTTTTGTTATTTTTTGAATGGTGAAAATGTCTGGACTTAGATAGTGCTGGTGGTTGCATAAATTTGTGATTATACGAAAACCCACCAAATTGTATTTTTTAAATGGTGATTGTTATGGCATGTGAATTATATCTCTAAACAACTATTCAGTAGAACCAAGCTGAATGCCTCCTCTGCCCACAGAACTTGCTCCCCTGGTGCCCTCACATTGGAGGATGGCACGAGACCTACCCTGTCCCCAGGCTCAAAACCTGGGCATCATCCTCACACCCTCCCTGTCCTTCATGGCCATCCTTTGGGCCTCTCCGTCTTGTCTGCCCTCCCTTGGCTTCCCCGTAAGGACCCAGAGGGGTTTGTTGAGGGAGGCTGAGAGCAGCTGGGGCAGATGCTGGGGCAGCTCTGGGATGGGGCTGGAGGACAGGTTGTGTGGCTGCTGGGACACAGGCTGTGACACGGACCACAGGCAGGGGTTGACCAGACTTGGCCCATGCTATGGGGCACAGAAGACTTGGGGGAGGGGCAAGGCAGGGACGAAGTTCAGAGGGGGGGCTCCGAGGTTAATCAACATGCAGTCTGCAGACAAGAGACAAGTCAGGCTGACAATTTGCGTGTGTGTGTGTGTTTTTAATGATTAGTTTTATTTTCTTTATTGATTTTACAGAGAGAGAAAGGGAGAAGGAGAGAGAAATAGAAATATCAATGAGAGAGAATATCAATTGGCCGCCTCTTACAGGCCCCCCACTGGGGATCTGGCCCACAACCTGGGCATGTGTCCTGACCAGGAATTGAACTGGCGACCTCTTGGTGCACGGGTTGACACTCAACCACTGAGCCACACTAGCTGGGTGACAATTGTGTTTTTAAATTTTTTAATGAGTTGCCACCCTCTGAAAACCAAGAGGTTTCTTTCACCCATAAATTCCATTTCCCACTACTCCTAAGGAGTCAGAAACTCTGACCATGCTGGGTGCATGTTCCCCTGCAGCAGTGACGGGCAGAAGCTGAGAAGTGGCCACCCTGGTGCATGGCCTGCCTGGGTGATGACCTCTGTTATCCACACTTACTTCCTCTGCTTTGGCCTCATCCTCTCCTCTTATTGCTGTACCTCTTCACAGCTGTCCTGCCTCTGGCTCCCATCTCCACCCCAGCACCTGCCTGCCCCAGGCTTCCCCTGCTAGACACCTCCCATGGCTCCACCGCCTGCAGAAGGCCACGCTTCTCAGCCCTGAGTTCAGAAGCCTGTGCCAGTGGCCCCTGCTTACCCTCCACCTCCTCTCCCTTGGCTCCTTTCATGCTCACCCAGCATAACCCTAATGACTTTTTTATTGTTCCTTTCCTGCCCCAGGACCTTTGATCACACTCTGCTTTCCATCAGGAGTGCTTGGACCAGGTGGGCATACAACCAGGCTCCACCAATCAGGGCATTCATTCCCTTGGCCACAAGGATTGTTTCTGAGATGGGTACGTGACCCAGCCTAGGCCAGTAAGAGTTGGACACAGGACTTTTGCTGGAACTCCGGTGAAGGAGATGCTCGTGTGTCCCTGGGGGAGGCTAAGCCGGGGAGACGTCAGCTGAGAGTTACGGGGGGCTATTTGCCACTCTGAGGACAGAGAGCCTGCCGGAGAAGGAAGCCTGGCAGAGGAGAGCAGAGCGGAGTACAGGAGACCCTGGCTAGCTTCACCGGAGAGCCCAAACAGGACCGGCCTGAACTCCTCGTCTCCGGTGAGAGAGCTAGAACTTGCTCCTCCTGTGGCCTCATCACGGAGGATCCAGCCAGGTCTGAAGCCTGCATGGATTTTTCAGTTACATAAATCAATCGATATCCCCACTCTTCCTTCTAAATACAGTTTGACCAGGTCTCTGTCTCCAGCAACCGAAGGATTTCTGGTGAATTCATCCTCCTCCCCTTGCTCTCCCTCTACCTGCCCTGTCCCCACCCCTGTCCCATGAACCCAACACAGCACTAGGCATGGAGAAGATGCTGGAGAAACGTGTCCAGATCCATTTCTTCCGGAAGTAATTTGTATCTGTCCTTATCCCTGGTTGGTGTGTTCCAGGATCAATTTGGAGGTCTCAGGAGCACATGATTTCAAGAGCTCCATGTGCAGGCGCAGGGAAGGGGTGAGGACTAATGTGAGAAGAGGCCTGGGGTGGAGGGGGAGGGCTGAGGAAAAGCTCCCAGGCTTTTGTTCAAGGTTTTGTTCCACCACTGTGTCACCTCCTCCAAGAAGCCTTCCCAGGCTTACCTCCCTAAGCAGCATTCACAAATCCCCTTAGGACTCTCCTGTGTGCCCCAGAAAGACCCTTCTCCCCAGAGCAGAACAACCCCAGGCAGGGACATGTCTCAGCACACCCTTTTACGGGCCTGCTAGATCATGGATGACACTCCATTGCTTACACACCTCCAGTTATGGAGAGCTCATTACTGCCCACGAGACATCTCTAACTACAAATTAACCACCATAATTTGAGCCAAAAAGAGTCTTTGCTCAGCTTGCCAGGGCCTCAGGCCCACCTGCTCCCTCACTGCGCTGGGCTTCCCGGAACAGTGGGCCCGAGAGAAAACAGTCCCCTCCTCGGCATCTCAGCCTCTCTGTCTCAGTAACTCTCTCTCCATTTCTAAGTCGCAAAGCCTCTCTCTTCATCTGAGTGAGTGGCTGTGCTCCAATGTCTGTCCCTCTGTCCTGTTCTATTTCCGTGGCTGCCCATCTGCCACCTGGGCCATGCCCCTGTCTCTGGTGTCTGGGAGTCTGGCATTTCTCCTATGCTCCCCTTTGTAACACCCAGGGGACCAGACATTCTGATAGATGGGGCCTTGGAAAGAGGTGTGTGTGTGTGTGTGGGGAGGTGATTAAAGAAAGGTTGTCTTTCCTCGGGAAAGAGAAATTGTTGAACCTCTGTGCTGTTGGAAGGGTTTTCCCCACCCCTGCTCCATGGAACAGTTGGGAAATTGAGGACGGAGAGACCAAGACCAAATCCAGGCTGGTTTCAGTCTGCAGCTGTGGGCTCCTAGCGGAATGGTTAGTGCAGCTGTGGGCAGTGGCCAGGCGAGGGCGCCAGAGACAGCAGGAGTCACGGCCCATGCAGGAGCCGAAGGCTGGACTTGAGGGTGTGGCTGCAGGACCCTGCCTTCCTGACTCCGCTCTGTGACTTGGGTGGTCAGCCCCTGTCCCTGAGTAGGTTTCCCCTTCCAGGATATCAAGGCTGACTTTGCAGCCGCACATTTGGGTTCAGATCCTGATTCAGCCTCTTTCTAGCTGTGAGATCCAAGCGAAATCGCTCAGTGTCTCTGAGCCTCACTGAGGCTGAGGAGGCCACATCTGTTTGGAAACCCAGTAGACTGTGTTCGGAGGGAGGGCGTGAGGCCCCCACCAACAGAAGTATGTGTTCAGGACCGAATGACCTGGGAGCGTATGCTGCAACGGGGGGAGGGAGGGAGGACTGTCCCTTTCCCTCTGACAGTCTGTGACCACCACACAAGAGGGCCCGGCCTGCCCCGGGTGCTGACCTGGAAGCAGACGCGGGGGCCGCAGTGAGGGCAGTGTTCTCCCAGCCCCTTTGGGTGAGGGGGGAGGGCAAACTCTCTTACCTGGAGGATCAGAAGAGTGGCTAACGGTGGCTTTTTAGGCCTGTCTTGTGCTGGGCAGCACACCATCAGTGCCCCATTAGAAAGAAGCCCTTGCCCTGGCTGTTTGCTCAGTGGTTAGAGTGCCGGCCCTTGGACCAAAGGGTTGTGGGTTCAATTCTGGTCAAGGGCATGTACCTGGGTTGCAGGTTCCATCCCCAGTCCCGGTCAGGGTTGTGCAGGAGGCAACCAATTGATGTGTCTCTCACACGGATGTTTCTCTTTCTCTCTCCCTCCCTCCCTTCCACTCTATCTGAAAATCAATGGAAAAATATCCTCGGGTGAGGATTAACAAAAAAAGAAAAAAAAAGAAAGAAGGAGCGGAGCCCTTGTGAGGTGGGAAAGACAGAGCGAGGCCTGAGGGTCAGGGTGCCGCAGCTTGGCAGGGACTTGCAGCTGACTTGCCTGTGACCCGAAACCCCCACTGCTCCTCTCTGAGCCTCAGTTTCCCTCACATGCTCAAATGGCATTGCAGATGTCAAATTGGTTTGTGACCAGAGAGAGGTAGAAGCCAGAAGGTGTCATGGTTCGGGCCCTGGCCCCCAGGCCTTGAGGGCAGGGGCGGAGGGAAGAATGTTCGGATGCCAGAGGCCCTGGGGGAACCAGGACTCTGTTAAGCTGCCTGGGCTCCAGTCAGCAGTCCTGCTTTGGCCCCACAGCAGAAATGGGGACACGGAGACAAGAGGGGAAGGGCCCTCAGGATCACACAGCAAAGTCAGACAGGGGCTGTCAGGCACCCCTAGACTACCCAGCAGGGGCTGAGCTCCCTTTAGTGGCCCGGGGTCTCCAGGAGCCCCTCTGAAGAGCTCCTACGAGTGGACATGATGCCCCCACGGGCAGATGCCAGGCAGCCATGTCAGCCTTAGGGACACCCAGCAGCCACACCCAGAAACAGGAGGGCACATGAACCCACACAAAGCTCTGGCCACGACACATATGCATCCACACACCACATACACACATGTGCAAGCCCCTGCCGGGCCGGCCCTGGCTCCCGGCCTGATTTCAGGAAGATGACCTTTGCACAGTCCCCAGACTATCCGGACTCCAGGGGAGCCCCACTTGACTCCTGGAACAACGGGACGGGCCCCAAGATGCCCAGAAAGGAGCTGTGAATGACCTCCAGCCTTTGCCTGATGAGCCCCCATTAAGGCAGCAGGTGTTCCAAATGTGAGGGTTTCTCTGCTCCGGGTGTCTCAAGTACCCCCCTCGTTTAGGCAGGGCCCGTGGGAGCTGGGCCCGTCAGATGGCGGTGGCCTCTGTCTCTTAGTATGTAGAGGGACTCTGGCTGTGGCTCACTGGGGCCCTGGCCTCTGAGGCCACTCACCACTTGAGGGAGCCGATCCTAGTGAGTCGGTTCCACAGAGCCCAGCGGCTTTGCCTCTCATTCACCAGACGACCCAGGACTTTCCCCTCTGTGCCCATTCCCACGGTGACTCAGCCAGCTCCCATTCCTTCTCAACTGCACCATGGCTTGTCAGGAAGGATGACAACCAATGGAAAGAAAGAGGGGCTCCTTGGGGTCACGGAGGGCATCCCAGAGCCTAGAGGACAGACCCCAACATTAGTGGGCAGCAGGGAGGGGCCCAGACTCACCCAACAACGTAGACCAGAACCACGAGCTGGGTCAGGCGGAATATGACGCCCACTTTCTTGTTGCGCACAAGCACCATACGGGGGGTGTCATATTCGAAGAAGAAGGCGGCCAGCTCATCCTGGAGCCGCCGAGCCATGGCGGGCCTGGCGGGGGCTGCGAGCTGCGCCCCAGCCCAGCCGTTGCTCTCTAGGCGGGCAAACACCCACGTCCACAGCCGTTTCTAGGGGCTTCCCAGCCCCTTGCAAAGGGCAGAGCAGGGCAGGTGGGGCCAGAGGTCAGGAGTCAGAGGTCAGTTGGAGGCGCTTGGTTTGGGAGGGAGAATCCTCGGGTGATCAGAGCAGCTTTGGGTCCCTGGCAGGCAATGGACTGTAGGACAGCTGCGCCTGTGGACAAATAAATTCCCAAAGATGGATGGGGGCGGAGCTGGTAGGGTCACCCAGACCGGGCGGGCTGCCCCTCCTGGCTCCGCCTGCGCCCTGCTGGGCCTCCGGAAACAGAAGCTGTTGGCAGGAAACCATGGGCCACCCATCACAAGGCAAAGATAAAGCTGTCAGCCCCCCGCAAACCTGGTGGAACAGGACTGGGGGCTTGGGCAAGGGCGTGGGTGGAGTGTTTGCAGGCCAGAGCCCTCCCCAAACCAGGGACCCATCCCCATATCCAAACATCCTCTCCACCCTGCCCCTTCCCCCCAACCCCCGTGGGGAGCTCAGCCTCTGGGGGCCTACAGCCGGGAGGGCCGAAGCCCGAGGAGGGCCACTTCTGGTCCAGCTGCCTGACACTTCCAGAGCCCATGGCAGGACCCCCAACCCCTGTCCTCGTAGTCCACCTTCCATCCACCATCTGTCCGACTCCAAGCCTGGCTTGTGCCCGGTCAGCCTCAGTGTCAGGATGGCAATTTCACTCCCCGGCCTCTCCCACCCTCTGTCCTGTCCCAGCCACACACCCACATCCCTTACATGAGCAGAGGGAGGAGGTGTCCAGACAGGACGAGGATCGCTTCTGTTGCACATCACCATCGGGCTCCTCGAGACCCGTCCGGGAAAACGGACATCAAACGGGCCCGTTACCATGCCTGGCTCTGCCACTTGCTGCCTGGGGGGGCTCGGGTATGTTGCCCGTGCTCTCTGAGCCTGTTTCCTTATCTGAGAAATGGGGACAATAACGGTAATGGAATTTCCCCTTAGAGCTGGAGGCCTTCCTCAAACTTCACCTCTTTTCTTTTTATCCTCACCCGAGGACATTTTGCATTTATCTTCAGATAGAGCAGGAGGGAGAGAGGGAGGAAGAGAGAGGGAGAAACATCAACGTGAGAGAGACACATCGACTGGCTGCCACCCACATGACCCCAACCGGGGCCGGGGACAAACTGCAACAGAGGTACATGCCCTTAGCGGGAGCCGAACCCTGGGTCTCTCCGGTCTGCGGGCTGACGCTCTAACCGCTGAGCCAAAGTGTCCAGGGCAACCCTCACCTCTTTTTGCAGATGAGGAAAGTAGAGCAGCCCTGGCCAGTTTGGCTCAGCGGTTGAGCGTTGGCCTGCGGACCAGAGAGTCCCGGGTTCGGTTCCTGCTAGGGGCACGTACCACAAAAAAAAAAGAAAGAAAGAAAGTGGAGCTGCCCTGGCTGGTGTGGCTCAGTTTGTTGGGCATTGTCCCAGGCACCAAAAGGTTTCTGGTTCGATTCCTGGTTAGGGACTTGCCCTGGTTGCGGGCTCAATTCCCAGCAGAGGGTGTGCAGGAGGCAGCCAATTGATGTTTTGCTCTCACATCAATGTTTCTCTCTCTCTCTAAAATGCAATTTTAAAAATCTTAAAAAAATAAAATAAACTAGAGCTTCATCCCAATACACCAAGGTTTCGGGTTTGATCACTTGTCAGGGCACATACAGGAAACAAGCAATGAAGGCATAAATAAGTGAAACAGCCCTGGCCAGTTCGGCTCCGTGATTAGAGGGTCGGCCCGCGGACCACAGAGACCCGGGTTCGGTCCCCGCTAAGGGCACGTACCTCGGTTGCAGTTTGTCTCTGGCCCCTGCTGGGGTTGTGCAGGTGGCAACCAGTCGATGTCTCTCTCTCACGTCGATGTTTCTCTCTCTTCCTCCCTCCCACTCTATCTGAAGGTAAATGTAAAAATGTCCTCAGGCGAGGATAAAAAAATAATAATAATAATAATAAGTGAAACAACAAATCGATCCCCCCTCCTTCCTCGCTCTCTCTCAAATCAATAAATAAAAATTTAAAAAAAAAAAAGAAAAAGAAAGCAAGCCGCACTCAGAGAGAGACGTGCACTGCGCAAGCTCACCCTGGGCAGTGCTGAAGGACCCAGTGGAAGCAGGAGAGCCCCCCCTGCCAGCCCTCACCCAGGCTGTGTCTTCAGGTCTCCTCCCGAAGATGGGGGGTGAGGCTGGGTATGCTCGGAGCCCCTCCTGCCCCGAGTCCAAGCTGCCTCACCCTGAAGGCTGTGGGAGTCTTCTTCCTGCCAGGCCCGAGCTGGGAACCCCAGCTCTCTGTCAGAGCAGAGCCACTTTCTGGACAGCAAGGGTCCCCAGAGCAGGCAGGCCCACAGCCATCCAGCACCCGAGGTCAGCCCCCCAGTCACAGATCAGCTTCACCCCACACAGTGTCTGCCAATCTCAAGCTCAATGGTCTGCCTGACGCCACCTTCAAGGGGGTCGGTGAGAACCACATCCTGGGCTTTTTCATGGGAAAGTCTAGAGAAGCTGGGAGCCAGAGCTGTGGCAGTCACATCCCCTCGGCCCCATCTTGACCCCAGACAAAGGGCCTGTCGCCTTCCCAGCTGACCCTATGGCACTTGGAACAGCTGGCTCAGGACACGGACTGCTTGCTATGGGGAGTGGGGTGCACGCTGACACTTGTCTAAGCCATCTCTGAGTCCCCTTCTACCCACACACCCCACAGGACACCACCCAGGATGGCAGCAGGTGCTCAGTAAGGGGGGAAAGGGAGGGAGTGGGAGGAAGGCAGTCAGGCAGTCAATTTGTCTGTCCCTTTCATACCATTACCCTTACCACGATCTCCTCCTCTGCCTTCTCCTCCTCTCCCTCCTCCTCCTCCTGCTCCTCCTCCTCCCCCCCTCTTCCTACTCTCCTCCTCTCCCTCCTCCTCCTCTGCCTCCTCCTCCTCTGCCTCCTCCTCCTCCTCCTCCCCCTCCTCTTCCTACTCTCCTCCTCTCCCTCCTCCTCCTCTGCCTCCTCCTCCTCTGCCTCCTCCTCCTCCTCCTCCTCCCCCTCCTCTTCCTACTCTCCTCCTCTCCTCCTCCTATCTTCCTCTTCCTCCTCTCCTCCTCCTATCTTCCTCCTCCTCCTCTCCCTCCTCCTCCTCCTTCCCCTCCTCTTCCTCCTCCCCCTCCTCTTCCTACTCTCCTCCTCTCTTCCTCCTCTCCTCCTCTCTTCCTCCTCCTCCTCCTCCCCCTCCTCTTCCTACTCTCCTCCTCTCCTCCTCCTATCTTCCTCCTCCTCCTCTCCTCCTCCTATCTTCCTCCTCCTCCTCTCTTCCTCCTCCTCTCCCTCCTCTCCCTCCTCCTCCTGTCTTCCTCCTCTCCTCCTACTCCTCTCCCTCCTCTCCTCCTCCTGTCTTCCTCCTCTCCTCCTCCTCCTCTCCCTCCTCTCCTCCTCCTGTCTTCCTCCTCTCCTCCTCCCCCTCCTCTTCCTCCTCTCCTCCTCCTCTTCCTCCTGTCTTCCTCCTCTCCTCCTCCCCCTCCTCTTCCTCCTCTCCTCCTCCTCTTCCTCCTGTCTTCCTCCTCTCCTCCTCCCCCTTCTCTTCCTCCTCTCCCTCCCCCTCCCCCTCCCCCCTCCTCCCCTCTCCCTCTCATCCAAGGATCCAGGCTTGCTGATAGGCAGATGGACCAATGGACTGATGGCCTCCCCTGCCTGGCTAAATTTAGCAGCTCTGTGGAATATGGAGGGAGCCTGTGCCCTTCCTGGGGGCCAGCCCGGGCCCTCAAGAGGGTGGGCACAGGCTCCAATGGGTTCCTTTAGTCACTCAGACAGACTTGCTTGGGGTACATACACGTGCTGCTGTTAGAGTCTCGGTTCTGACCCTGGCGTTCAGAAAACAGACTAGCAAGGAGGACTGTCTCACTGGGGTTGTTATCACACCCAAAGCATGCCCAAAAGAAATAGAAATAAAGCAATTACTTTTCCTTCCCCAAATTCATTTTCTTGCTAAAAACCCCCCAAGAGTAACTGATGAAGTCAATATTTCTTTCACTAGTTCTAAAATGTTCCACCTGGCCCTGGCCGGTTTGGCTCAGCGCTTAGAGCGTCAGCCCGCGATCCAGAGAGACCCGGGTTCGGTTCCCGCTAAGGGCACGTACCTCGGTTGCAGTTTGTCCCCGGCCCCGGCTGGGCTTGTGCGGGTGGCAGCCACTCGATGTGTTCCTTTCACGTCAATGTTTCTCTCTCTCTCTCTCTTCCTCTCTCTCCCTCCCACTCTGAGTAAAAATGGAAAAATGTCCTCAGGTGAGGATAAAAAATAAAAAAATAAAATGTTTCACCTGAGGCCTGTGCTTTTCTGCCCCTGGCCCCAACCCCACACCCCAGAGACAGACACCTGCGTTTATTCTAGGCACTGGGGGTAGGGGAGGCAGAGGTGGCCAGGGCAGGGTTCAAGTTTAGAGGGACACAATGCCTTCATAGGTTTTTAAAAACTCAATAGGTTTTTAAAAAACAGCTTGTGAGGAAGGTACTAGACTCCTCACTTCGCAGATGAGGAAACCAAGGCTCTGCAAGGTGATGCCTCGTCCAAGATCACACAGCAAGTCACTCCCATGTCTGCTGGTCACCAGCAAGGAGGCTCCCCAAAGTCTGAGAGCTTGGCCCAGGGCCCACCCCAGGACTGCAGCACTTGGGAGTCTCCAGACCAGCCTTATAAGCCCAAAGGCCGGGTGGCCAGCTTGGGTGCTGGCCAGACCTTGTAGGGAGACAGGGCTGTGCTGCCAAGCGCCGGGCCCCAGGACAGCTCCCCTGCCTGGCTAAATTTAGCAGCTCTGTGGAGCGTGGATGGGGCTCGTGCGCCCATCCTGGAGACCAACCCGGACCTCCAGGGGGTCAGCACAGGCTCCGGGGGGTCTCCTTAGCCCCCGAGAGTTCCAAGGTTGCAGGGGCCACACCGCTGCCAGCAGAGTTCAATCCCGCACACCGTCTGGGCCTCCCTGGGTGTCCCAGGGAGTCAGCCAACGCCACGCCCCTCAGATGCTGCTGGAACAGGGCCTGGGCCGGCCTCACAGACGGTCTGGGGGAGGTTGGGGAGTAGGCATCTGTGGTGTGGCTGCAGTGGGGGTCCCCAAGGTCGACTTCTCCCCATGGCTCAGACTTTGTACTGCTTCTCTGGCTTCTGTTATCCCCCCCACTACGAGCCAGGACTGGCTGGAACCTCTCCTAGTG